AGAGAGAGAAAGGAAGAAGGGAAGAAAGAAAGAAAAAAGAAAAGAAAGAAAAAGAAAGTGGCAGAGGCAGAAGAAAGAAAGAAAGAAAGAGAAAGAAAGAAAGAAAGAAAGAAAGAAAGAAAGAAAGAAAGAAAGAAAGAAAGAGAGTTTCACCACATTTTCCAAGTTGGCCACGCCCATCCGGTCATATGACCACCGAGCCACTCCCACAAAACAGGCCACATCTACAGAATAGGTTCTAAAAATTTTTGAAACCCACCACTGGATCACTGAGATGTCTGCCCAACTCCTTCGGATCCATAGCCTCAGCCCGGGTACTGGTAACACCACGAGATGTAACTTATGTACCATCTGAAACAATCCTGTCCATTCAGGTTCAGCTTGGAATGAAAATAATAATCAGCTATGCGAACTAATCTCAGTAATTTCTATGGGACTAATGAATGGATGGATGGATGGATGGATGGATGGATGGATGGATGGATGGATGGATGAATACATAGATACATATATAGATAAATACATAGCTTTTTATTGTTATTGTTATTTTGTCTACATCATTCCATATAGAACTGTCAATACAAAGAGTATTATCTTTCTAAATAAACTCTTCATGTAACTGTAACTCTTAAATTAAACTGTCACTAAAAATTAATAATATAAATTGTTTCACTTTTTTCTATTTCCTTTTCACAATGCATAAAGGAACTTATAGTTTGTATAACTTAGTTTTGTATATAAATTCTTTGATTTGCATCTGCATTTTTATTTACAGGGAGGAGATCTTTTTGATGCTATTACATCTTCAACAAAGTACACCGAGCGTGATGGAAGTGCAATGGTCTACAATCTAGCCAGTGCACTGAAATATCTTCACGGTCTCAGTATTGTCCACAGAGACATCAAACCTGAGAATCTTCTGGTATATTTCTTATTTTCTGTATATTCTTTTAAGAATGCATGCAAGGAGTATTAAGCAGCAATTTCTTTACAGAGTTAGGCTGTGAGTGTAGCCCAGTCGTTCTCACAGAGCATCTTAAGTCAGTGGAAATATTCCCCCTGCTGTTAGCAATAGAAATCATAATAGAAGTTTTAGATTCATAGAAGGGGATTCCTCCTCCAAAAAAATGTTATAATGTTTCAGCAGACTACTAATTTAAAATAACATCTAAGTTCTTGTGACTTTAGAAATATTATAAGGCAATGATAACTCAACATATTTGGCACTTTACGTGCACTTTATGCTTTACTGAACGTTACCCATAGGTATAGTATTGAGAACACAAGGAGTTTGATTAAAAAAATTTTTTTTACAGCATCACGTGTTTTAAGTCATTCTCTACTCACGTTTTGGAGGAATACATCTTGATAAAGATTTTCCTTTGATTTGTCCTTTTTAATGTCTCTCTGTCTCTCTCTCCCCCCCCCCATGTTATTTTACATGACCTAAAAGCAGCTATGTGCTGCCATCTGCTGGATTTATAGAATTGCAACATTTCAACTACTATGTGGAATATATTTTATGGGTTGATGGGCACGATGGATAATGAAGCAAAAGAATGATTCAACAAATCAATATTTATTATGGTTTATGATCAATTAATCTTTAAAAAATCAAAATTGAAAAAAAGATTTGCCTACAAAGTTATAACATTGATTTTTTTCCCCTTAATTTATATTGGAAAAAGTAATATAATAAAAATTTATATTGGAAAAAATAAATATATAAGAGAGAGAGTGTGTGTTTGTTTAAGATTCAGATATTGCTTTGAGACTAATATTCAAAAACCATTATATAAACAAAAAAGGGAGAAGCATTCCTTAAGCCCTGATAAAGTAAATAGCTTTAGGAAGAAATTCACCTGTTCCTTGATTTTGTTGGTATAAATGAGATAAAATATAATTAGACTTTCTGTGACCATAGAATATCTAAATTAAGTATAATTACAGTTTTTCTTTGGAGTCAATTTCCTGATCTGGTCTCCCTCAGAAGGCTGACAAACTAGTTTTGTAATCAGTATTGCTTAATCAATATCAGTTGCTTTGAAAACAGCAACACATAAAATTAGATATAATTTACAGATTCAATCTTTGTAGTTACATCTAGTTCAGTCATAAAAATCTAGAACCTTTTCTTTAGGCAGAATTTTGGGCAAAATATATTTGGGGTTTTCTGCAGTGTCATTTGGCTTGTTTTTATACATGGTGTCAATCTCCAGCTAAGATGAGGGGAGGTGTGAAAAGAGGCCTGAGTTTAGAATCCTTGCACCGCAAGATGCGATGTAGATATTACTCTTCCAGAATCTGTTAAGGCTCTGTTCCCAAGGCAATGAAGTTAATCTGGCAAGGTTCCTATAAATAGGCCTGCAACAAATAAAGTAACTTTGATCAGCTCATAGTTTCATTCCGGTTCCTTGTGCCTCAAATATTGCACTAAACTGTTGTGTTATCTTAGTTATAGATCTTAGGAATTGCTGTGTAATTCCTAGACTAGTGTAATCAATAGAATGTATGCTACCTAAGAAGAGATTGAACAACTATTTGTCAGCCTATTTCTAAATAGTTCTAGTTTAATACATGCTTAGTATCCTAGGTTGCCTAACCAGTGTTCCTATCAAATTACACAATATGATTTATGATCTTTTCTCCCTCCTCTCAGGTCTGTGAATATCCAGATGGTACAAAATCCTTGAAGCTAGGAGATTTTGGATTAGCCACTGTAGTTGAAGGACCTCTTTATACAGTCTGTGGCACACCAACCTATGTGGCTCCAGAAATCATTGCAGAAACAGGGTGAAAATTCATTTTAAAATACAGTTCTTGTGTTCTAAGTCCACAAATAATATTAATGCTATTTTTAAAAAAAAAACTAAATGTGATCTGTTCCTAGCTGTCTAAATAGGTATTGTTAATATTTTTAATTTATTCTAAGAATTTGTCTAAAGGCCTGTTGCAAAATGCAGTTTATCAAATTAGAGGTTTGTTAGGTATAATCTTAAATTTGTAGCTTATTTACTGAACAGAACTTTTTCAGTTTCTGATAGATACAAGTAGAAAGAAGTGCAAAATGGATCAATTATATATAGCATGACTCAGACTATACCCTTCCTTCAATATTAATTATTTATTTTAGTAAAGGCATGTATGCTAAAAAGTAAAAAGTGTTCAGTTGAAACCCTGATTCTAAGCTTTAAACTTTAATTTAAAAATATGAAGTCATTTTAAACTCTTAATATGGTCAAAATACCTAATTGGTTTCAGTAGTTTCAAATAAGCAGCATAGTTCAAAGAACTACAAAAACGAAGTGGCATATTTAGAAATTTCATTGAATTTGAAAAGCTTAAAACACAAAACTCAAAATAATTGTTGGGGGATGTGTGTGTGTGTGTGTGTGTGTGTAGCGCAATTGAATACCATTTGGAAACTGAACAAGTAAAACTGCATAATGAAATGGCTACAAAATGTAAACAAGATATGCAGCAATAGGAATATTAATGGAAGGAAAACAAGTAAGGTTATGTAAATATTAGAGATACTTAGGGAAAATATATATTATATGTATGTATGTATATGTGTTCTGTATGTGTGCGTTTGCATTGAAAATTGAATTCAATTGCTTATTAGATTGGCAAATTAAGTTTTGAATTATGCACCAATATTAAATGGTGATATCTTAAAAATGCTGATACTACATTCAATATATTTTTGTGTGCACTATGTAATATATTTAAATTTCAACTTTCCCAAACTTTTTTTGTAGTTATGGCTTAAAAGTGGACATTTGGGCTGCAGGTGTCATTACATACATTCTCTTATGTGGGTTTCCACCATTTCGTAGGTATGTTGAATCAATAATGCATGAAAAGGGTTGCATTTGCCATTTACCCATGAGGCTCTGATTTTAATTGATAAATATTCTATTTAAGGAGATGTCCTAACACTCATCTGGTTTTCCAAAATTTGGGGTAACTGGTGATTTTAGTTTATCTCCTATAATGAAAAAGTGACATTAGTAAAAGAAGGAATATGTAAAATTACATTTTAAGCAGACTTTATTTTCCCTTACATAGGTACAACTTATATTCAATAGACAGTTTTAATTTTGAAGTTGTCATAGATATAGATGGTTAATTCCTTATATTTTGCTATTTTATATACTTGTCATTGTATCAGAAATTCAATATTCCACTATCTGAGAAATATCTGGAGGTAATAGTAGAGATATTATTAAAGCTTCCTTAAGTAAATAATTTACAAAAAAACAATAGCGATTGTATTTATTCTCAAACTAAATTGAGCTCATATAAATATTGGAATTAGGACATAGTATTGCATGTCGTTAATCTTGTAATTTTGCTTTTATAATGAACAATATAATGACTGTCGTAATAATCTTTTTCCTGCTTGGTTTTGATCCGCAGTGAGAACAACATTCAAGAGGATCTTTTTGATCAGATCTTAATTGGAAAGCTGGAATTTCCTTCTCCATATTGGGATAACATCACTGACTCTGCTAAGGTACCAAGAGGCATTGAAAGTGTGAGAGTTGAAAGTATGAAAACATTTCTGATAAGCCAAATTGGCCTATCTCTACCATAATTAAAATCCTTTCCTTACTTAGGATCTGTAAAACTCAAGCCTTTATGTAGAAACATACACTCTAACCATATAATTACTGTATATGTTGTCCTGATTTGTTCTGAGTGACCTACTATAAGAGCCATGGTGGCACAATGGTTAGAGTGCAATACTGCAGGCTACTTCTGCTGATTGCCAGCTGCCTGCAATTTGGCAGTTCAAATCTCACCAGGCTCAAGATTGACTCACCCTTCCATCTTTCCGAGGTTGGTAAAATGAGGACCCAGATTGTTGGGGGCAATATGCTGACTCTGTAAACCGCTTAGAGAGGGCTGTAAAGCACTGTAAAGTGGTATATAAGTCTAAGTGCTATTGCTATTGTTATATTGTCCTCATTAGTCACATTGGGGATATTTTGAACATTATTTATTTATTCATTCATTCTTTTGTTTGATTTATATCGCTACACTTTGAACACATATGACTTTTGGATATATGGATTAAAAGATGAAAACCACAATTTTCAACCCGTGCACCAGGAATAAAATAATAACCACACTCACAAAAAAAAAAAAAATCACATTCACAAAAACAAAATACCGACGACTGCGGATCTCCTCCCCGAACCTAAGCACCTAAGTACAATCTGTTCCAAGGTCAAAATTGTCCTGTCTTAACAACTAAAAGACCCAAACAACCATGTACCAAAACCCCAAGTGGGGTCTATCTGGTACTGAAGGACGACTGTTCAGATGCTGATTAGCTCTGAATATGGCATGTATTATCTACCCACTCCCAAAACATCTCAAGAGTCAAACAACTACCAAGTTTCCTTGAAAATTTGACCTATCCTGAAAATAAGCCCTACCTTGATTTTTGCATGTGCACCCAATATAAACCCTGCTCCCCCAAAAATCAGCCCTAGATAAAACCCCACCCACCCACTAGTTTTTCAGCTGCAGAGTCCTTTCCTGAAGGCCTCTGATGGTGAAAAGGATACAAGACAAGACATATACTGCATAACCCCAAAATGTTATTGTTAGGCCATGGTGGTGGCAATGTAAACAGTGAGTGAGAAATGAACTAAGAAAACATAAAGTAGCTCACAGTTTCTAACATTCATGTAAATTAGTTGCATTTATAAATACTTTACTGTTCTGAGTAATGTATTAATGTAACAATTTTACAAATAACCTTTATTTTTTTAAGAATGTATTTTTAAATACCGTATTTTTCGGAGTATAAGACACACCAGAGTATAAGACGCACCAAGATTTGAAGAGGCAAATTAAAAAAAAGTTTTTGCACTCTGCAGACCTCCCAAAAATGGTCCATTTTTTTGCGAAAACAGGCCTGGTTTTTTAAAAAGGGGGGGGCATGAATAGCCTGACAACTCTGTAGTTTCCTCGATCCTCCTTTTTCCCCTCTTTACAGTGACATTTGCTCTTTCCCTTTAGAATAGGTTATAGTCTTGCAGTGTATCCGTGATGCCTGTCAGATTCTATTTACTCTATTGACTCTAGTTTCCTATTATTTCTCTGTGCATTGGTGTAGTAACATCTAAGAATTTGCATGGCATCTCATAGATAGTGCTATGTCTTCCTGCAAAATTCTTTGAGTTATCATCCTAGCCTCATGTTTCTTCCTTTGTGTGCTGCTATATGTGTTGCTATAATAACCCAAGTCCTTGGCAGCTTATTCAGCTTTGGGGGTTTGCTACTCCTTTGTTTAACACAAAGTGCATTGTGCTGAATCTTTTCTTCATCTTTTTGTTGTTCCTCAGGAATTAATTAGTCTGATGTTACAAGTAAATGTGGAAGAACGATATACAGCTGCTCAGATATTAAACCATCCTTGGGTATCAGTGAGTAAAATACTTTATTATATTACACATTTAAACAAAAATTTAAAAGCTCAACTAATATTAACACTTGAAATAGATTAGGTTATGCCTCTATAGCAACCTACAGCCACTCTTCATTTAGCAATAAGTTTACTTAGCCACCATTTGTAAATATAATGGTAATAAAAATCATTTTCTGATAGATACATGTATTTAGAGCCAAACGTGATGCACTCACAATAAAGAACGTTCATTGTGAAACTGCTTAAGGTCTGATAAGTTTTAGGCAGCATTGTAGCCTGCCAAACAATTCTAATATACTATTTAAGGTCACAGAGCTGAGCTTGTTAGCCTGTAGTTAGCTCTTTTTAGGAACCTGCTTTTTTCAGAAAAATAATCTCTTCAGGAAGAGATTGTTTAAGCAATGTCTGCCCTGCGAGAGGGGAAAAAAAGAAAAAATGGGTGAGGCACAGGACAGAACTTTATAGGTAGGAAAGAAGTTTATCTGAAAAAGATGGCAGCAACTACTGATCTTTGCAGCATATCTCTCGCTCTCCCTCTCCTGCCTTTGTCTCTCTTTCGTGTAGCAATCATTTCACTTAATAACAAAATCATTGGAGCAGAATGTGCTTATACGGATCTGGCTATTTTTTTAATGATTCAACAACTCTCCCCTGCATTTAATATATGCTAATTATAGAAGAGGTAGACTTGTTGGGTGCACTTCCTTAAAAAAACTTAAAAAGACATTGCTCTTGAAAGTATGAAAAGAATTAATGGCAAATGTAAGCTTTTAGTTCAAAAGAGAGTGGTGAGGAGCTCTGTAGGTGGTCAGTAGTATTCTCCTGAATATGACTAGGTGAAAAGAAAGAAAAAGAGATTCAGCTAAAAGTTTCCAAAATGGGTCTCTTTTTATCGCGTGTCTGTTCATTTATCGTGGATTCTTCATTTGGATGTTTGTCTCTATGCTAATTTTTGTATCATTCCAATGCTTCTTTGTTGAATAACAGTGCGCTCCTTTTCTTTAAAAAGGATGATGCCTCTCAAGAAAATAATATGCAAGCTGAAGTAACAGGTAAATTAAAGCAGCACTTTAACAATACACTTCCCAAGCAGAATAACCAAAACGCAGGAGTGTCTATTATCATGGTAAGCAAGTGCATCATTTCTACCAATTATTTTACAAATTTGATATTTCCAACTTTTTCCAGAAGAGATACAGCTTTAGTTATTTTTCATTACAAAGTAATAATGCATATTTTATGGCTGTGTCAATGTCTCTCTGTGCAATTGATGCATTTTTAAGAAAATTTAAGCATTTGACAAAACTGTTCGGTTTGAGATGTTCTGTTTAAAAATTGTGCAATTAAGCCAAAGTAAAGAGTGCTACTCAAAGCACATGATTTACCATAATTCAGCCTAATCAGCTGTCCTTTAATTCTTACATTTGCACTGGGAAAAATTTATCTCATGAAATATATCCTATTGGCAATAAAGTTCTTAAAGATGCTATTTATGTTAGCAGTCAGTTTTTATTTGCACCAAATCATTAAAATGCAGCACCAATAGGTATTTCCAGGACTGCTAGACATACTGACCAAATTTAGGTTGAAGGGGGATGGAGACAAAAATGTTAATTTTTTATCACTTCTTGTTTAATTTTTCCTAACATGGATCAGCTTTAAAAGCAATGTTTTATTTTAGGATGAAATAGATTAATTTGAGGAGCAAAGAAAAATAATACAGGCTGATTGTTTTGCTTGCATTTTATTTGACAGTTTGACTTGACAGTCTGAGAGACTTCAAAACTCAATGTTTTGTATTTTTGAGACTTTGGATAATCCCGAAGCAAAACCTGGTATAAAATCCATTATTAAATAGAGTTATTTTAAAATGCTAACTCACAGCTGCTTTGCAAATTTGCACTTTAAGCTTGTTTCTAGTCATAAATATAATTCAGCTTCTGGCTTCTTTTTGATGTGAAGTTCTGGTTGTTTTGTTTTGTTTTCAAATTTCTAGCCTTCTGGCTTTGCTTCTAGGCAATGAAGCAAATTTGTAATTGTAACTTCCATTTATCCTTCCATATCTTCTCCCTGGTGGTAAAAGCTATTATTCCAGGAACTAAATTATAGTATGTAAAATTGCGTTCTGAGCCAAAGTCCATTAAGCAATTTGAAACTTGCTTGAAGAATCTGAATGCAGGTAGTCCTTGATTTACAATCATAATTAAGCCCAGTTGTTAAATTAGTCATTGTGTGGCGTGCCCAATTTTATGACCTTTTTTTGCAGTTAAGAGAATGCCATGGTTGTTTAGTGAATCCATTTTCTCCATTAGGCACTTTTGCTGGAAACTGGAAGTAAATGCTGGTTTCCAGCAAAAAATGTTGTAGTCCTGTGGTCAGGGGTGGGTTTCGACCGGTTCGCACCGGTCCCTGCGATCCGGTTGGTCACCGAACCTGGAAGTAAGTAACTTCCGGGAACGGCGAAGCCCCCCCCCCCCCGCGCCTGCACGCGCCCGCACACCCGCGCCCGCTCCTTACCCGGTTTTTACGAATTCTGCGCTTCCACGCATGCGCAGAACGCATACAGCGCCTGCGCGATCCTCCAGGAGCAGCTGGAGCATCGCGCAGATGCTAGTACGCATGCGCGTACCGCGTGCGTGTGCGAGGATGCCGCGTGCGCGCACGAGGACGCCGCGTGCGTGCGTGAGGACACCGCCGGCCTCGTTCCAACCGAACCAGTTGGAACGGGGCGAGAAACCCACCCCTGCCTGTGGTTGACTGAAGTTGCAAATGGTCACAATTGCAGGCCAATTGCTAAACACCCCAATCTGGGTCACAAGTAGAGATGGAGAGATCTGCCATAACAGTTGCTAAGCGACAAGCGATAAGTCGAGAACTAACTGGAGTTTTAACTGAAGAAACAAACACAGGGTCTCTCAGCTTGAGGGTCACTCCATACATAGCTAAAGGTGGCTAGGAGTAGAACCCATTTTTGGAAGGATTTTGTTCAGGGTGAAATGAATGCCTTAAGGATCTACTTAACAACATCAAAAGCCCGTAGAATTTTGCCCTCATCTGATTGATCATAAAAATAAATGGTGATAGACTTTTTTGGCCTTCAGTCCACTCTTTTAAACCCTAAAATCAGTGATATTTAAAAAAAAATACATTTGGAGAACTAAAAAAACAGAGTAATTATATCAAGATAAGTTGAAAAAGTTGCAGGTTGAATTATATTACTTGGTGTAGGTAAGCCGAATTGCTTTCTCCATTTCTCATAAGAAGAATATTTGTGTTCATTTTCCACCCAGAGGTGGTTTGCCCCCGGTTCGGCCTGGATTGGGCGAATGGGTAGTATTGGTGGCAGAAGGCTTTGCCCACCACCTGGACGCTTCTGTGCATACACAGAAGCGTCACGCACACAAACTGGTAGGGAAAAAATTAGAAACCCACCACTGATGTAATCAGAAGTGGTGGGAGAATACAAGAGTGCCATGTGTGACTTTTCAGATTTATATACAAAAATGCTGGCAGATTGTCATGGTATTTTAATCTTCTGCTAAGAATAGTAATTTCTGTGTAGAATATGTGTGTAAAAACAATAAGATATGGTAGAATCCAAGGAAGATATCTAAGGAATTATTTTATCAACCACAGAAAAAAAAATGAAATTTATTTAGCCTAAGAGTACACCACATACAAAATAATAAAAACAAAGTATCTCAATTTATCAAGTGAATACAGCTACATTTACAGCTACATTCACATGATTGTCTTGAATAAAATTCATTTTCATTTCTTTTCGGCAAAACATTGTGCTCAAAAACCATTATTTAATCAAAGCAGAAAAAAACACATTTTTAGAATGGCTTGCAATTTTTCTTCTTTTGATTCTTTATAAAGATCATATAAGGAAGATTTCAGTGCTGCTTTTTGAATATTGAAATGATTTATTTACATTTATAAATGTTGCAATGCTATTGGTCCTGCTTCCAGTAAGTCTAGTGTCTGTCCGTTGCTTCCTTCTTTTGCTTCTACTCCCAATGCCTGCGCTGCTTTCCTCTGAATAGGTCCAAGGCAATGGTATGTACTAATTACAGTGCTTCTTTGCCACAATTAAAAAAAAAAATTCTTGGTTTGAAAGAAAAGGAGAAGTAACCTTGTAACAATCTTGGACCCGAAAATTTTGTCAAGTGATGCAGTACAATCATACAACAAGCTTTCATTGCATTGATATATTTGTATCATTCAACCATTTCAATATTGCTGCATGATGTTTTCTATTTTTGTAGATTTGAAAAGCAAAAAAAACAAAAAAAAAACCTTGGGCTTTCCCTCTTTTTCTTTTTTCCTCCTCCTCCTCCTCCTCCTCCTCCTACTCTTCCTCCTCCTCCTCCTCCAAAATAGCACAGGTACAGTTCTGAAATTGCTTGAGAGCTTTTCCTTGGCTAATTTATGATAATCACTTTCAATTAGAATGATCATCATATTCTCATTTTATTTATGTAATCATATTCCTAAAGCAACCAGCGACTTGGCCACAAGCTCAAAACAATTGATAAGACTATTCCCGCCTTTGGTCTGCAATCTTCTCAATCATGGGCCCCAATCATCATTTTTTTACACAACATCTTTGGTGCCAATTTTAAAGAAAAAAAGAGTAATACCTTTATGTTTAGATATTGTTTATGAGTTAACTCACAAAATATTTTATTTTTAATATTTTTATAAAAAATATAAAGATTAGTGAGAATGTTGTGGTGCTGCATTGCTTAGCTTAATGTATGTTACCTGAGCAGCGTTTGAATTTTTTACATTTTCCACATTGTGGTTCTGGAACTGCTCATACAAAAAGTGTACCATGAAAAAAATATTCTAAATATGTAATTATGACCAGTCAAATGCTCTTTTTGTCCATCTGAAATAAAGCCTAAAATCTTATATCTGCCAATGAAAGTCATTATTACTAGTGAACCATTATGGTAAAATGTCTTCTTCAGTTAACTTTTTGTAAAAGCTTAGTTTAGTTTGTTGCCATGTGCTTGCTTGAGTCACATGCTCACTTAATGTTAAAAAAAAACAAATTTATATTAGGAGTTTATAATTCAAGTTATAAAACTAGTTACAGTCCATTCTTAGATTTTTATTTTTCAAAAGCTATCAAGCACAGTTCAGACACAATTGAGAAACAAAAATCAAGAGTAATAACATGAGCAAGTTATATTATTTGAAGGACCTATAATGGGGTTGTTTAAATTTTATACCTTTCACTTCCACATAATAAAGAAGGGAGAGCCATATTTTTCTATATATTCATTTTTGCTTCTTCCAAAAAGCACCCATTACTTCCATACTGGATACTCTCCATTATCTTCCTTATCATCACTTGCACATTCAACTTTTCCCCATTTGCAACAAAGATTCTATCAAACAACACAAATTCATAAATCTTTACCATTAATTTATATCTTATAAATTGTGTGGTCCATTTTTTCCCTGTCAAATACAATTTACATTGGACTTTGGTACATTGGCTGCATACGCTATATGGCATTATTATGGCTTATGTAACATTTCCAGTAAACCATTCAAGTTCTTAACCAACATCATGGGACCATTTTTTTAAAAAGTGCATGCATATTACATTCCCAACCAACAAATCTCAATATTACCATCATAGTTCTTTTGTCAGTGTCTATCTGAGCCCTGATGGCGTAGTGGTATTGCAGGACAATTCTGCCCACAGCCTGGAGTTCAGTCCTGACCGGCTCAAGGTTGACTTAACCTTTGATAAAATAAGGATTGTTGGGAGTAATATGCTGCTCAGAGATGCTGTAAAAATACTATGAAGCGGTATATAAGTCTAAGTGCTATTGCTATCATTTGTCTGCTAAAATACAGAGCCATTCTGTAAATGTTCCATTTATTCTCATCCACGCTATATTCCATCACATCCACATTCACCAGCCAAACCTCAACAGTATTTGCTTAAAATATTCCATAATCCAAGCCTATTCACTTCTATTATACAGTTGCCTGAAATCAACCGTTGTATGTACAATATACTTTCTTTCTTTCTTTCTTTCTTACATCTATAGATTGATAATGATTTTCTGAAGGACAAAATACCTGGTCTATACATATTGTGTCTGGTGGAAAGAGGCACTGCATTCACCCATTGAATGTTTAATCCTGTTTAATCCTTTTCACTCGTTTCCAAAGTAGTTTTTTCTTTCTTTTGAAATTGTTCTGATTTTTAGGTTATTACTCTAACCACAATCTTTTATTTCTTTCTGTATATACACATTGCATGACACAATCATCATGACAGTGAAATTTCATTTTTTCAGCAATTATTCTCTTACATGTATTTGCTTTTCATCCTTTTGCATCCTCTTGCATGTCATTTTTTCACCAAGTAACTTTTTTCATGTTCCTATTGCCTTATTGTACACTTTTCAGTAATACTCCTAATTCTTGCACTGTTGAAAGCAATATCCATGTCCCCTGTCAATTCTCGATTCATTCTGTGGAAATTCACATAACTTGTGCCCATGAAAGTAGCAAATAATGGTGTGTTCTACATCCTGAGTTTCTCATCTGGGGTATATCCTTCATTGATTCTCAGTCTTTCCTCATAATCACATTAAGCATGCTTTTGAATTTATATTCATTCATCTGCCACAAGGATAGACATACAAGTGAATTATGTTTTTGAAACAAACAGATCATTTAATAAATATGTACTCCGTCTGAATTTGCATTTATTCTTGGATATTGAAATAGCCAAGTCACTCTTTATTTTATAGTTCATGTCACCAGAGGGTTTGTTTTAGTTCCACAAATGTATCTCTTTTTTCATTTATTTGTTTTACGGATAAATCTTCCATTTAACAATCTTCTATTCTAAGTAACAATCTTCTAAGTACCTGTCTCTTTAGGTTCACCTTGACATATAGTGACTCTATGGCCAAATCCATGGCTTTTGGGGAGATTCATTCATATCATATATTCATTCATTCATTCAATTTCTGAAGCTACCCAACTCAATCACATGACTCCAGGTGGTTTACAAGTCTAAAATTATGAAACAATTAAAATAATTTTAAAAAAACGCTTAATAATTTAAAAAACACCTACAAAATAAATTAGTAGAAACAGTAATCATGATAGTTAGCCAAATAACAGGACCCTTCACACATTCCAAGCCCCCAGGCCCAGATACATAGCCAAATTTTTAAAGCTTTTTGAGAAGTTTGGGCCATTCTAATCTCTAATCCCGAGGTGGCGCAGTGGTTAAATGCAGCACTGCAGGCTACTTCAGCTGACTGCTAGATCAGTAGTTCAGCGGTTCAAATCTCACCGGCTCAGGGTTGACTCAGCCTTCCATCCTTCCGAGGTGGGTAAAATGAGGACCCGGATTGTTGTTGGGGGCGATATGCTGACTCTGTAAACCGCTTAGAGAGGGCTGAAAGCCCTATGAAGCGGTATATAAGTCTACTGCTATTGCTATTGCTCTGAGAGGAGAATATTTCATAAGGAAGAGCCTGCAGCAGAAGATTAGCCTGTTTCCGCTAATCATCATTCTTTGGCTGATGGGATCTGCAGTATGCCCAATCTGGGCATGCAGTTCTTCTTACTAAAGCTGTCCATATGAGAAACCACTTTCCAAACAATCCACAACCACACCTTTGAAAAAGATCTTAGAAGTTACTTTTCCTTTTCTTCAGACTTTGCATGTATCATTTTTAAAAATACAATTATATGTATGTATAACCTTTGTCAGTGATATGATTTACCTTTTTCTTTAAAAAATTATATTTTAGAACACAGCTCTAGATAAAGAAAATCAGATATTTTGCAACAAGCGCTGTCAAATCCCAGATCAAGCTGATGTGAAATAAATCACCAAGATAATTCCTGCTTCACAGCCTTGTACAACTGATCACAAGTTGACTTCTCCTGCTGCTTCTCAGTTGCTCAGACTCTCTTCCTACCTTGAATCAGCATGTCATGAGCCTGCAAGATTAATTTTAAGAAAAGTTCTAATGAAATCCACAGCTAGGTCAGCTACTGTTTTCTTAAACTTGCTACTTTATTTTTTTTTCATGTCTAAAAAGGATGCAGGTTGTATGTACAGTAGATTTTAGTACTCTACCTATTACATTTGGGAATTCTTATGTCTTTAAATGAATTTGTGTTCAGTATAATTTCAATCATGCAAATGAATTTATCTTCTCATACTTGGATATACAAACTTTAAATAGGTATAACTATTAAGGAGCCTTGTCCAACAAAGTCTAGATTTTCTAAAAGAAATGCTAGACAAAAAAAGGAGTGGAACTCATTTCTTAAATTTAAAAATGCAGGTCTAAAATCCTGAAGCAAGATTATTCCCAGTGGCAATTTGTACAATATTAAAAGGCAAGTTGTGGAGATTTGAATAATGGTGTGAATGGATAGCACACTTATCTTTGACATTAAACTTTTTGATTAAGTACCATCAAGTTAGTGTTGACTCTAAGTGATCACATAGATAAGAAACATAAATTTAAACTGTGGAATTTAATATAGAATAATTCAATCATTGACAATCATTTTGCAACCAACCCCATTTATGAATGAGTGTGTTTTGAAGATTGCAGTTAGTAAAGATTTCTCTGCACAGGTTGTTTCCTGCTTCTCCTTTTCTGTCATGAATGACCAGGGTTTTTGTTTTTTTTCTTGGAACAGAAAGCTTGCTGCATGGTGCATTGTCTAAAAAAAGAGCAGTATATTTATAGCAAGCTAGTGTAATAAATGAACTACTAGTCACCAACACAGAATACTGTCAGCATTGTATTTTTTTAATTAGCCCACTCTTAAAGAAAGTCATCAAATATAATGCTAAATGTGCAGTGAAGGGTAAATGGAGTTATATATTAATGCTTGTTTCAATATTGTATTTCTCTGCTTGTTTTATTTTTTCTTTCTAACAATTTTAAATCATTTTCTATTAGCTCTTTACATTAGAACTAAGAACTGCAATAAACATTTTTCTTCAAAAGAGTAAGTAGTAATTCTTTTGAGAACTTATAAAGCAAATCCAGGATATGTAATTATCTTGATTTCCTTCTATTCTGAGTACACATTATGTTCTCAAATTTGATAACATAATTTTATTTAATAGGATCAGGCTGTTTTCTTTTATTTTTATGTTTCAGGTGTATATTATTACAATAGAAAACATTCTGAGTATAGCTATATAATTGTGTCATTCAGTTATTTCCAGATATTATTTGGTTTTACACTTGACTGTCTTCACCTTAACATTTGCTTATATGTTTAAATCAGAATGCCTGCTAAGAGATTTTATTTTTTTTAGGTATGATAGCATACTTAGTATAGTCTTAATTTTGCTTTGGCCACTTTTAGTGCAAATTAAAAGATATTAGTCCCCATCCCTGATGTAACTCTTGTATTAAAATTGACCCACAAAATTACCAGAAAGTAGCACACATTAAGCAAGTCTAATGTGAAAATAATTGTTAAGCATAATTTTAAAAAAAATCTGGACATTTCTTTCTGCAGTATTTCAGGTGTTCTGTTTGCTTCTGTAAATATTAAGCATACTCTTTTAAAACTTTCTATAAAGATTTAAGCAGAACTACACAAAAGTTATTAAAAGAAAAAACCCAAGCAATATATATTTCAAATATTTCAGGTCCAAATATTTAAATATTACATTTTAAAAGAAACAATTTTTGCATCTCCATGAATCTCATATGAAGTTGCCCTCTAAGCTTTCAAGTTTGAAGTATTAGTCATATAATTATTTCTTCCATTATTAAATACATATAATATTTTAAGAGATGTATACTTGCTGATGCTATATTTCAGCAAGTGTAATGGATCCGAAATTACTTTCCCAAATTATGTTTTCTGAAATTTCCATGTTATCCCCTTCCTTTTTTCTGCCTCCTCCTCCCTTCTTATTTTACTCAGCTAGATTATTTATTCAGATCAGTATTGTTTCTGCCTACTAATACTGGCTCTTGTTCTTACCTGTAATAATGAAAAAAGAACTACCTCTTTTATATTCTTGATTTCAACAGCCCCTATGAAATCAGTAATACTCAACATTATTGATTTCAAACAGTGGGAAATAGGGAACAATTTCAATGTTGGATTGTGGCAATGTTCCCACCAACTCTGTGTATTACCTTTGTCAAATTTAACTTCAGTCTTCAGTCTAATCAATTCAGACTGCAATACTGAAACTTCAGACTTAAATACTCAATTTTCAGTCAACATAAACAAAATCAGGACCATATTGTGCCTGTGCTTCAGGAGCTTAATTTTGAATAGTCTGAGATTAATCAGTCAACTGTACACATATGAATGGCTCTAGATCAGCATAATTTAATGCCTATAATTTCTTTAATAAAAGATAAAAGATTTATACGATCCGAGGAGAAACCAGATTAATGCCTATGATTTCTAGCTTTTAATTTATTTCTAGCATCATACTCAATGTTTAATATGTAGTGACAAATTCAGCTTTAATTTAGTTTTTCCCCTCAGTCTTAAGGGTTCCAATTGGTGGTCCATATCCAGTATACTTTAAAACCAATGTTCAAATAGTTATACCTCTTTCCCCATTCTACTAGGGCCATAAATATTTATATTATAATTTCTTTACATAAAAATGATTTTAAAAAACTTTCATCAGCTCACTGGCCATGTGTCCAACTATTAAAGATGATGAAATGTTCCTGGTGAAAAACCACCCAGCATCTCATGCATTGGCAATTCTTTTCTGATATAATTAAATGGGGGGAAAAAACCATTATTGGGTTTCTAGTCTTTCTCTGCGAATATATTTTGGCATCCGAAAGATTGCAGTGGCACAAGAAATTGCCCAATAAAACTCTCCCGCCTCAAATCAAAAGCACATCCCGTTCAAGAAACAAACAAAAGCAAAACAAGGACATGTCTGTTCTAAGCACAAGGAAAACCAAAGAACAGACACACTGCATCAAGCCCTTCATGAAACACATATAGCATTTGTCACTCCTTAGGGAAGGCCTTTCATTAGCAGCTGTAGTTAGACAGTTGACTGGACTTTTAGTAGAATGCATAGAAGAATTGGGGCTTGAATCTTCTTCCTGTCCTATCAAATCTAAACAGTGCCTTGGTTTCACACGGAGCACAAAAAGTAATGAAGAACAATGTAAAGTTCTGCAGCTATTAAAATGTCAGTTTGACTTCAAAATGAGAAGGAAGGAGGCGTTTAGGAGCAAGAGTTACTTTTTGTTCTTGATTTTGGTGATTAATCTTTAGACATTTCCTATTTCAGTGGAAGACAGTGCTTTCTAAAAGAATATAACATTGTAGTGCAACTGTGCTCAGGGTTTTTAAACTGTCATGTCTCTCAATATAAGCATAGCCAGTTTTCTGGTTTGGGCAACTATTAGCTGAGTATAATCAATAAAATCTTTGATGGCTTGGGAGAGGAAAGTATGACTACCTTTGCAAAGTTCAAGGACACACCCATCATCCATTACACACATAGGAGCTAAATTTGTAGATGGTGTTAGGTCTGTGCTAACAGAAGTGTAGCAATAAATATACATTTGGCATTTGCTGTGTTCTCTGAAAATGTTTGGTACATGTAGCAGTAACTATAACCAAAATTTCCTATTTAAAAGACAAGATTTACAATCATTTTGTTTTCAAAATTCTGCATTGTTTCTTATTAGCAAGTTATGTTCCTGTTGTAATAAATGAAACATTAAAATACAAATGCCTTTTTTATTTAATATCTTGTTTCAAACTGAGTTTTCCCCTTTCTGATGCTCATATAAAGAAGGGCTATTTGAATATTAGGAAAAAAGCATACAAATTGCTTCAAATAATTAGTTGAAGAAATTATATATCGATAAAGACAGAGAAATGTAAATTTCAAATCTTAAACGACAACTTATCAACATCAAGAAATAATTTTTTGCAGTACATACTAAAAACAATACTTTTCACATATATAATTACAGAATTTTGCACAGCAATCATATATTAAGTAGAATTTATGCAACACCAAAATAACATTGTTCATAATAAATTTTATTTAGTTTCCCAAGAGCTTGAAGAAAGATTGTCAGCATGATTGAATCAGATTTGATGGGAACATGTCTTGATTTTAAAATCAATATAAGGCTTGTGCAATACAGTTCTCTAGTTGTTTTTGTAGGCACACAATAGCTTTTTCCATTTTAGGTGCCGAAGGAAAATAGCAGATATTCAGCACAAGTGGGGGTTTTTTGGATCCACACATGGTTTCAAAAAGTACAGAAGATAATAGAATACTTCCAAAATCCTCAAAATAGACCTTAATTTTGAAGAACAGTGGGCTTGATGCTTGATGTATAAATTCTGCTTATGATTATTTCTCTCTTAACCATACAATAAAATAACAAATTAATAATTTAAAAGGTATACTAATCACCTAGATCTAGAATCACACTTGATCATTACACAGATGTGAAAACAAAATTACATAATTTAAATATTCTTGATTTTCAGAAAATTCAGTGCTTCAAGTTCGCTATCACTGTAAAAGTACAAGACAAAAGGGAAGGGAGGGATAAGCACAGTTTAAAATGTCAGTATTATAACTGCTGGTATTATAACCAACTTCCTTTGTTATAGCAATTTCCATCATTAAAATCAAATATTCCATAAGATTATAAAGATTTACATGAGAAACATGTTTCATAATATAGCTAATACAAGAATTATAGCCACCCTATTACAGTCTCCACCCCCCCAGTATAATGATCAAAATAGATTTACTATGACTATAAAATATAGATTTTCTTTATAAGCTACAGAACCCCAACAATCATCTTCTGTTTTTCCCCATCCCAAAAAGTCAAGCAAAGTCTACAAAAATAGCAATTAACTTCAAAAAATAGCATCTCCCAGCAAATTTAAGTTACATTCAGATATATTAACTATTTATAAGATCTAGATTATGACAAGATACTAAAGAGAGATGTGTATGTTTCAAGTCTCCATATGAGAAGAGCTGCACGGCCACATCAGTTTAATTCATATTTCAGTATCTGGTTTGGTATTCATGATGCCACCTGTTGAAATCATTGTAGAAAACCACTATGCTGCCAGAAGCCATGCCTGTCATTATACACCTGTGAAGGAAAATATGCAGAAAAAAAACAAGATCATTTTGCTGAAGTAGCACTTAACTATACATAGCTTTATGAACATGAAGTTAAATGCAACTAAAGTTGTGTTTGAAAATTCAATAGTTTTAAGACCTAATGTTTCTTCTCATTCCATTAGCAAAATATTTTTCCCAAGTTTGGAACTAATTTAAACGTCTCATCCAAAACTAGTGTGTTTGGAAATGTTCAATTACATCTAGCAAATCCTGTTGAGAAGCAACAAATGGGATTTAATACAGCACAGAATCCTGTTATTCTGAAATCTTTCCATCGATCCCCACCCCCCAATTTTGGCTATTTTGAAGTAGGAATTTGTTCACTTTCAACAGAACCAGTGGATGGGAATCACTATAAAATAAATATGTTGCTTTTAATCATTGATTTGGGCATGCTAACTGAAAAAAAATCTTATATGAAGTGTATGATTTTCAGTAAATTCGGTGCTTTAAATTCTGCTATCAGAACACAGGTGGGGGAAATACAGAACAAAGGGTGGGGGAAATTAACTCTCACCTTTGGTCATATGAAAGAGTCATGGATCGGATTCCAGCATCACAACCAGGATAGGCAAAAAGTTGCTTGAGATCATATACTTGCCATACCATAACAACTCCATTGTCTCCTCCTGTGAGGAGGTACTGCCCATCACGGCTCAGCTGGATTGCCTAGATCAAGACAAGTGACTTGAAATAATGAAACTATTTTCACATTAACTTTTTATTCGTCAATTGCTATTACTTAATTATCATGTCATAAGACGAGGTTACTTTTTATGAAGGTGGGATCTATAGAAAAGAGAGGTTAAATAAACACATATTTTAATCATTATTTTTGAATTTAAACATCAGTATAGTGGGAACTAATGCTATTTGGATTCTAGGATATTAATTCACTAATGAGCCATAATGAGGTTTTAAGCATCCTTTCTATAAAATGCACAATCCCAGTCTTCTGGATTCTACTGCATTTATGATACATGTTACCCTAAGAAAAAAAGGGATATATACTTTTTATGGACTGATGTTAGCTACTATTGCTAATGAACAATAGATCTGTATATAATTATGGTTTTTTGAAGATAGAGAGAATGGCAATAGCTCATGTTTTACTTCATCTATGACCAAGAGTTTGTCATGATTTCCATTTCTTATATACAAGGATTTAGAAATTCACGAAACCTTCCAATTCCAAATCAAAGTATGGTTTGAAGACCAATCCACACAGCTGTATTCTTTTATTGACCCTCAACTTTACAAGACATGCAGCATGACTGTTTTGAGCCTAAGATGGGGTCTTACAAACCTCATATCCATGCAAATGCAATGAAACAACCATTGAGACAAAATAAGAAGTGTCTCGATGATTGTCTCATCAAGACCCTTTTGCCATATGGAACATTTTGCCATTATAACATTTCTAATCCATCTGCTTTTTTAATTAATGTATTAATTATTGAATCAACTTTTAAAATGTGCATATATCCAAATTTCATGTCACAGTTGTTACCAAATTACAAGACTGAAATATGTGCTAAGAATTTTACAGCCACACCCTCCCTCCATATTTACTACACTGGGATGCCTAGCAATATAGGTGGAAGAATATTGAGAACATTGCTTGTATATAAATGACCGCAGATGGAAAAAATGGCAAAACCTAGCATGTTTTTTAAAAAAATGCAAGATTGATATAGCTAACAAAGTAAGTATAATTACTTGAAAGATCATTTGTTATAACTAAAATCAATTCCTTTCTTTTCCTTGTTTCACAAATGGCTATCCTAAGGATATTTTTTAAATTGCAGTGAAGACTATGATAAATAATTATTTGCTACAGTTGTATAAAATTAAGCTGATGAAAATCTATTAACCCCACAGTTATGGTTCATTTGAGTGTTATACTGGAGGCTTTTTTATCAATGCTATATTAAAAGGTAAATTAAAGCCATTAATCTTTAACACATCTATCAGTGAACTGAGTGTATTTCTGGAATAAAAATAATGGGATTTGGACTTTATAAATAGATGTGGAATTTCACTGACCTATCTAATTGTGAATGGAAACTGAATGGAAAGAATGTAGTTAAGCTTCAAAGGCAGACATCAGAATTTCACTTTTATATAGCATGGCCTTCAACATTTAGCCTCAACAGTTAGCAAATTAAAAAAATGGTATTTGTCAAATTGGAAAGCAGAAGGTTTAAGTGTAAGACTAATTTGTTTTAGTATAAAAATATTAGGAATTTTACTATTTCAGATACAAGGGGCTTCAAAACATTGTGTTCTTTCTAGTTCACACTTTACTGAAGAGTCTCAAAATGCAGATTTTTGAAAGACCATTATTTACCAAAAAAAAACAAAAAACAAACAAACCCCAAAACCTGTCAGCCTGACAATGTTGGTATAAAGCAGCAGGAGACTGTAAGATACTTGACTTTTCCAAACAGACTCAGGAAAGAAAAATAAATTGGTTCCGTTGGGTGAAATAGCATGTTGGCCTTGTTTAGGGTAGAATAACTTTAGTTCCTTGGACTGCCTGCCAACTTAGATTTAAGTTACTCATTAAGATATCTAAACACTGTAAAGCAGATCTGCTGTGATATTCTGTTAGCCAAAGTTCTACTGAGAAATGCAATATTTAAAACAAAAACAGGTGGAAAGCTTTGATTACGCTCTGAGTATATCCAGACAGCCTAAAGTTTTTTTGGTAGCATTTCTTGTACTTGTGTACAAGATAGTTAGGAGATTAAATAAAACAACTGGAAATTCAACATTCTGCAAAGCAAGTTTGCATGGATATAAGAAAGTATTCTGAAATATTTCAACAAATAAATTTTTTACTCCATATACAATATTTTATAAGTACAAACTGTGAAGCTGCAGGACTTTAGTGCCTTGGGCAGAGACATTTTGAACACAGTTGTTTTAATCTTTCAGTTACCACTTCACTTACAAAATGATAAAATACAGAAGCTCTGGGGAAAACACCATGAATTGTTTGAGACTAAAACTCATATGGGACTCAGAAAAAAATAATAGCATGGGATTGTATATACTATATACCATTGGCCTGGATAGAGAAGAATTTCCATTGCATAAAGAAATGGCCTTGCAAGTGACAACACTGTGGAAATTGTTTTTACCAAGCAAAAGATTGCAGGATATCTTATAGATTTACTGACCTAGCTGACAACATTATCACAACAGAAAGCGGCTATCAGCATTTTTACTGTAGGAAACATAAAACAAAATCACTAAGCTGAAGAATTAGGATAAGATACACACGCCTATAACATACCTATAATATTCCAACACTCTTTTGTTAACTCCCCCAATTTAAGCAGGGACAATTTCAAAATACCTCAAATGTGTTATCTAAATTGAACAATAATAACTTCTAACAATCAACTAAAAATAGGACTCTGTGAGGCAAATAACCTCAAAATAAAGATTATTGTAGATTTATTCCCAGAAAACTAAGTAACATTGAATGTTAAAGATGGATCATTGTTGAAGGCAAAAACTGTTCAATATTTCCCACACTCGGGGTATTCAGATTGTCACCATTTTTCTTCTCTGCATGAATCCTCTACCTGTGGGTCGGGACCCCTTTGGGGGTCGAATGACCCTTTCAGAGGAGTCACCTAAGACCATTGGAAAAGACATATTTTTGAAACAAAAACGGAAAACAAAAAATAATTTTATGGTTGGGGGTCACCACAACATGAGGAACTGTATTAAAGGGTCATGGCATTAGGAAGGTTGAGCCCCACTGCTCTAGGGGTTTCTCATGTTCTGCCACAGTTGCAATAGTGGGACTCTAGTCTGATCTCCACCCAAGAAGCTCAACAAATAATAATTCTAATGTGGATTTGTTCCATGGTAAACAAAAAGTAGCACAAGAGCACAATGGGTTACTTTTTCCAATTCCTAAGTACATCTAGAGACACAGTTGCTATTAAGCACTTCTCTAAGAGCCAAGGTGGCGCAGTGGTTAAATGCAGCACTGCAGGCTACTGCTAGATCAGCAGGTCAGCGGTTCAAATCTCACTGGCTCAGGGTTGACTCAGCCTTCCATCCTTCCGAGGTGGGTAAAATGAGGACCCAGATTGTTGGGGGCAATATGCTGACTCTCTGTAAACCGCTTAGAGAGACCTGAAGGCCTATGAAGCGGTATATAAGTCTACTGCTATTGCTATATTGCTCTAAGTGCAATTAGGTCATTCGGGAACCAGAAATGTTTCTTGTTTGATGTTGCTCTGCCTACACAACTACCCTGTTTACTTTCTCTGTTGTTGTTAAAATTTTGACGACTCTTGTTAGCAACCAGACCAAACTGACTAAATAATACCTTGTACTATAGAGAGAATAAGATTTGTGTATGCAACCTATATCCAGTATTTTGTGAAACCAAAAGTCTATGTAAGATCAATCCATTCTCTGACAACTATCAAACAAATAATAAAAAAAATATTCTTCTGAAATGTGGATATAGTTTATGTGTAGACATTAGACTCTTCCATAGTGATGTATATAATTTTTGGACTAAGTATGGAGCTTTGGGTACAATACACTTTAAAAGTTGCTATGAATTTCTAAAAAAAGATAGTACATTGTTGAATATACAAAATACAATAATATCATTTATTCAATTTAAATTGGATTGAATGTTTTTGCCTGTAGCCATTTTTGGAGATTAGCCCCAATGTGCTATTCAAGCCAAGTATGGCCCACAGTCTAAAAAAAGTGGCGTGTACACATATTGTGCAAGAAAATATTACATCATTTCTATTTTGAATTATGTACATGCTAAAAAGTAACTCCCAAACTAATGTCTGTTATTACTGATGAAGATGCTACAGCTATTTCATACGTGATATTAAATCATTTATAAACTATATATGTATTCAATATTTACCAAATACAATATAGAAGAGTGAAATATATTTTAAAGGACCTAGAATTTAAAAATAAGACTTCAATATAACATACTCACCCTGATATTATCATCTGTTTCCATAGTGGAGTGGAGTTTTCCATTCACACTGAATACACAGAAATGACCATTGTCATAGTATACAACACAGTGACCCTCTCTTGATGCTTGGATAAGTTTTGCTTTCACACAGTTTTCAGGAGCTTCTAATGTCCTCAGCAGATCCCCATTCATAGAATGTATGAGACATGATCCTTCTGATGAGGGAGGTTAAAAAATACAGCCATTAAATATTCAGCATTAACTATGATTAAATATACTAAGTTGATTTGGCTTTACCAAAACAAAAATAATTGTGATTTTAATGTTCAATTCTGAAATAGTATCTAATAGTTGTTAATATATATTGGTAGATGTACAGATGACAAACTGATGTTGCGGTACAACAGTTCTCAGAATCAATTATGAATTGCCTTATTATTAGAGCTTCTGGGAAGAACAGAATTATGTGGAGGGTAACAGGTTGCTCCTTCTGTAATTGTACCAATTCTTTGACTTTGTTTAACCAAACCTTTTTGCTCCTACTGTTGTCCTTAAAAGCCATAAAAACCACAAAATATTTATATTATGAAGCAAACATGTGTGTCTGTTTATTTGAATCTATTTGTATGGTCAAATGAAACTGGGTGGCTAATAAAGTTTAAGAAATATACTGCCAGAAGGAAGGCAGAGCTATGTGGACTTGGGTCCCTCTAGGTGACAATCTCTTACTGAGGAAAGTGGACCATGCCCCTTCTGCCTAACTAAATGGGACAAATACAAACTATTGGCACACAACACAAAGCTATGCAAAGGCCCACCTGGCCACAGCTGACACTTGTTTTCTGAATAAGAGACTTGAGTACTGCAATACATCCAAATTGCGCACATTTCTGTATGCAATAGTGCAGCCCCACTAGAATCAAGGATGAAAATGATCAAAGGCAGATTAAAGTCTCTGAAAACCATAAACGAGAATTCCATCACAAACTCAGCCATGGAGTCCAGCAGCTCTGGCAGGGAGGTTGCTACGCAGTATCAATCTCTTTGGCACAAAAGGAACAATCCCATTTGATCCCTGGAGACAAACTTAACAAGCAGGGTCTGACATCCAGTCACCACTGGGGCGACATTTTGTACACCACAAAGAATCCTGTATCACTAAGTCCCCTCCACCATTCTTGCTCCTAGGTCTACCTTCAGCATCCGTCCAAGATCTGTCCTTTCATCCATGATGAAATCACAGATATAGGAAGCTGATATTCTAAACATATAAGCATCTTCATGTTAATATTCATTATTGTAAGAAATAAATATTTCCAAGAAAAGTTTTTTTAAAAAATAAAATGTACCTTTAGAGCCACTTATCACTACACCAAGTTCAGCACAAATTGCTGCACAGGTAATCTCATAATCATGTCCAGTCAAGATTGCCCGAGGAGCAGCAGTTTCACCTGTAAGGAGATCAATAAAACAAAAGTTTCTTAGTAACCTATAATTAATGTATTTGAGAACATTCACAATTAAGCAAATGTATAACTCAATCCCAAATAATAAAAAGGGAATATTTGAACTGGAATTATTCTGTGCATTTGATTCTGAGTAGATACCATGTAAAAGTATATTTATAATGTATTCAAAATATGAAAAAAGCAATCTCATAAGTCCATAAGACTAGTTTTTCACCAAAGCAATGCTTCCCCATGGCAAACTGTAGATGGAGAAATATACTAGGAATACTTTTCAGCACCAGAAAGTAAACAACAGTGCAAAGAATTCCATTAAAACAACTATCCATGAAGGATGTAACTCAACTGAGTGGACCATAGCCCAGTGTCAAGCTCAGAAGTTTATTTATTAGATTAATATCCTGAAGTATAGAAGCTGCACTGCAGATTCAACCCTATATTGCATTTTGGGAACATTAGGTACTGCTTATGGGATTTCATGGATAAATTGCATACACTGATCTATTTTCATCAGCATTTCTTTTAATTTGCACAAATCTGTTCAAAGGCTTTAAAACTGAATCACTTCTATATAAACTTGAATAATGATGCCAGTTCATTTTGCAGGTTTTATTTTAATATTCTATTATTTCAGTATTAACACTGATATTTGGTGTATTTGCACATGTGTCATTTTAGTTTCTAGTAACTTCTACAAATTTCATAATAAACATATTTGATCTGCATTTTAACACAACCCTTAATTTGTATTTCCCAAATGTTTGTTTATATATATATGTGTGTGTGTGTGTGTGTATGTGTACATACACACACACACACACACACACACACACACACAGTATATGCATTTTTCCATGTAGAGTCGGCTTTGAATATAATACTTGCATGAATTAGGGTTTTCAGTAGAACTTGTATAATGTATATCAGACTCATGTTTGCGAAGGACTGACTAGTTCATGTTTATAAAAAGAGATTTAATAATCTATTAATCTAAAGAAATATAAATTATTCTGGGATTATCAGACCCATGTGGTGTTTGAAAGATTTATAAAGAATGTTACATAATAAAATCAAATATTTAAATGCTGAATATTCAGTCAATCAAATGGTTTTAAAGCTTAATATTAGACACAAGCGAAAAGCAATACTAGTAATATGTTACTAATCATAGAAATATGCTACTAAACTATGGTTATAATAGATGCAACTATACAGTGTATATAAAATACATAGTAATATATATATGTTACTATACATTTGAATTAGCAACTTCCTTGTGACAGCAGGTTCTTTCATACACAAATATGTTCTGAGAGGCATTCAATTTAATAAGTTTGCCTTTTAAAATAGGTAATGAATGTAGGTTCACATGACCACTGAAATGAATTATATATGATTTTAATTAATGAAATGCTTACTGGTTACATGGATTTGAAGGAGATATATTTAAAAACTTATGTTATTTTTTCATTGAAGGGTCTTCCTTCTACTTATAAAACATGAGTCTTTAGAAAAGTCAGCCTGCTTCCTTTGATAATAATGTTAGGTATTTAAGAGTCTTCCATGCTTCTGGTTTTTCCAAATAATGGGGTCAATTCAGAAGTTGGTGGCAGAATAGAAGAGATTTCTTACTGCTTCATAAGATTGTCATGGTTTTCACCAAAGCAAAGGGAAAGTTTTACTTTGTAGCTGTTTCAAGGAATGTCATTTCAAACTTCTTTAACTTTTCAAAGTGGCTTTATATCTTCTTTGAAATCCTTGGCTATTGACTTCAAAGAAGTGAGGCTTTGTTCCCTAAACAGGTTTATGATTACTTTAAGGAAGGCTTAAATTTATGTTAATTTAATCATTCTGAAAATCTACAGGAAGATTAACAAAATGAAATTAAACATTTTTGTTTGTATATAAAATATAAGTGTTTCACATACTCGCTTTGTAGAACACAATATTTAAAATTACTTCAAACTTGTTCAGCACTGCTTTTAAAACATATATTTGGTATTTAAATTTATACCCCGAGTCCAATAAGGTCTAACTGATAAATATACAAAACTATATTTTGGCTCAAGAATTATCAGACACACAGCAAATGGTTTGTCCTTAAGATCTTTTTTCTTCTCCCAAATAAAAGTATGTTTTAAAGAATGGAATTCAAATTTCAAAATGTACCAGAAACACTGCATGATTCATGCAATTCAATTCTTTTTCAGTTCTAAAAATATTCACAAGAGTGTAATATTTGCATTGTTCTGAAGAAATTACTCCCAGGCCTGATTATGCAATGAAAACTTGAAAAAGAAATATTCATTTCTTTGAGAGGTAACTGAGTGAACTTACAGTAGTGACTTATATAATGTATATTGCAACATTTACTTCAACAAATTTCAATAGGGATTGCCTTCCATTCTATCTTTGTTTTACAAAATAATCAATTCTTTTCAAAAACAACCTTTCCTAAAATGAATAAAATTAGGTTTAGAATTTATAGTTAAATAATTATCTGCCATGGCACAAGCTCCCTGGAATATCATTCCTCTGGACGGAGGTTTCATTGGCCTCAACCCCCACCCCCTTCTGCATCCATAAACTTTTGAAGATTTGTGTTATGTATTCCATGCTATGTGTTATGTAAAAAGTATCAAGAAAATGTATTACGTTGTACATCTAAAGGCAGTGGGGTGGCTCAGCTGTTAAGACACTGGTCTTTTTGACTGGAAAGCTGTCAGCCCAGGTTCGAGATCAGAACGCCACGCAATAGGGTGAGCTGCCATCCTTGGCCCAGCTTCTACCAACCTAGCAGTTTGAAGGCATGCAAATGTGAATAGGTAAATAGGCATCACTTTGATGGGGAAGTAATAGCGCTCTGTGACATCACACTGGCCACATAACCACAGAAATAAATGTCATTGAAAGGGAGATAAGCACTGCCTATAATAGTCAGCAACGACTAGCAGAGTAAAATTCATAGGGGACTCCTACATCTAAAGCCTTCATATCACAACATAGTGATTTGGTAGTCTTAATTTACTCTTCTCATATTTTTGTAGATCTACCTGGACTACAAGATTAGCTCCACCAAATCCTTTGCAGGCATATTTTTGGCAGTGCAGATAGTGACAGAAATACACTGGAAATGCTTTACACTTTAAAGAAGTGAGGATAAAGTGTAATATACACAAAGGAGGAATGGAGGCAGAGTTCTTTGCTGCTCTGTTTAACTCTGAATTTCTTATCTCTGGATAAATTCAAGTACCATAGAAAATTAGAATGAGTTGTGGTACTTTATAAGTACTTTATAGCAGGTTTACTAAAATGAATAAGATTTAAGTTAGTTTTAGTGAATTTAACTGATACTGATTTCAATGGATATCTCTCCAATTTTGCACACGGTATATATTCAAGGCCCAAATAAATAGTACAGATTGCTGATTATTATTTTCCTGAAAATAACTAATAGAAAAATAAAAGATTTGATGTCATTGATTTTTTTTCCTATTCAAAATTAATTATCTGGAAATTATTTACTATTTGGAAACTACTTCCAAATAGGTGAAAGTCAGCAGTAATCAAGCATATCATTATCTACATGAAGTGAATGTCATCTTTTCTAATTATGCTTAATGAATTCAAATGACCTTCCAGAGGTAAGTGAATATATTAACAAAACGACAAAACAAAACTGGGAAAATGGATGTTTCTGAAGTGCAGTTGGAAAGATTTAGTTTCAATATTATAAAACAAAATTTTCACTCAGGGTTACTATGATAAGGATTGCATTTCAGAGTTCAAATATACGCCAGCAGATGTCACTCTAAGATGCTTGGTTATGGTTAGCAAAAATGCCTTTCAAAAGAAGGCCTGGATCCTGGTTAAAGGCTGCTGTGAACCAATGAAAATAATAATAATTTTCAATAAAATATTTATTAAAATTAAATTTATCATAATAAAACAACTAGTTTGCATGTTCAACAGCTCATAAAGGTAATATGACTGGTATTCTATACTCTATATGTATTCTAAATGTACATGCAGATTAATTAATACTTCAACATTATCTAATGAATAGAGTAATTTGATTTCCTGACAAAGTATATGGGTTACGTATGTCTAGCAGTATAATTTATTTTACTTTTAAAGAATCTATCAGTCCTGTCATTTACTTTGTTGTAAATGCCTTCAAACCTGGATTTAGAAGAATAAATTTCAATGTTGTCTAGTATAAGAACTCAAACTTTTTCTTTAAGATTATAAAACATTATTTAGATTCTTATTGTTTGCTCCTGAACATTACAGAATATTACCTATCAAACAAGTTACAAAAAATATATAAGGATTTGTCTAAAAGGAAAATACAGGAAATTACTTTCTGTGCTTGTTATTCTGGAAGCTAATTGCAATGGGCTCCTCAAAGGAACACAATAAAAAAATCAAATGTGTCTACTTGAACTAGGAAAAGCATTTTTTTTTAATAGGAATGTTCTTCAAATGTCTTCCTAGATTTGTGAAATCTAGGTTCAAGCCTAGATTTCTCCATGCAAGGAAACTGACTGAGGCAATCATATTGTGTAATCAACAAAGAGAGTTGTTGGAAGTTGGGGTATAATATAATAAATACCCATTAAAAATCTGTCATCTTAACAGTGGAATGCATAATTATTATGGTTGGTCATACAATCAGCCAGATGGTTAGACTGGATTGGGTATTTCTGTTCACTATTGAATCCTTCCCAAGGATGTGGGATGGATAGATAGATGTTGTTGTTTAATAGTATTAAAGGTATTACAGCATTTTGCAGTTGTCTGATAAGGATTTTGTCAATGTCAATGTTCAAGTGATGTTCCAGATGTTTTGGAATTGCATCCAAGGCGTCTATTAGTATTGCTACTATCTTTTCTTCCTTTTGCCACAGTTGTTGTTTTTCTATTTCTAGGACTATATATTTTGTAATTTTTCCCCAGTTCTTTCCTTCTATTTTCCTGTCTTCAGGCATCACAATGTCCACTATCCAGACTTTTCTGCCTTTGTTATCAACAATTGTCAAGTCTGGGGTGTTGTGTAGCAGATATTTGTCTGTTTTAATTCTAAAGTCCCAGAGCACTTCAGCTTCTTCATTTTCTATTACTTTGTCTTTTTTTGTAGCCCTACCCACTCTTGCTTGCTGGCAAATAGTATTTCTTGCAGATAGTCCAATGCACCATTGCTGATACTTTCTCATGTCATTGTTTGTGCAATATTATTATTATTATATGGAATCATATTTTCAAATCAACTTACCTTTTTAATTTTATTACTATAATGTATAAAAAAGAAAAGAAAAAACAAAAAAGCCAAAATTCAAACAAGTATGAAAGAAAACCAAACAAAAACTTGTTAAGCAATTGATATGTAAGAGCTAGTCAGTTTATAACAGCAATGTGAAGTTGTTACATATCATTACTGATAGTGAGTTACTCATATTGATTGGGCTTTCCATTTTGTCTGTTTAAAGTCAGAGCGTAAACACATTTCTTCATTTTTAACCACCCAAATAACTATTTTAGTTTCATTCCAAATATGATAAGTCCACAAAACTTCTTCATAACTTCAAAACTTTTTCATAAAGTTTCAGTATTCGGCCCACGGGATGCTTAGATCTGGCCTGCAGAGCTCCCCTAAAAACAGCAAAGGACCAGCCCGTGGCACCTCTGCCAGTGAAAATGGAGCTCAGGAGCTCCGTTTTCACGGGCAGAGGGTGCAGGAGGCCGCTGCAGCTGAAAAAGGAGCTCGGGAGCCCATTTTCGCTTGCAGAGCACTTGGGCCTCCACAGGCACCCCTGCCACAAGTGATGTCAAGTTGGCCGTACCTTCCCCAGCCATGCTCACCCCCCCCCCCGGTGAAACACAACCCTGATGTAGCCCTTAATGAAATCGAGTTTGACACCCTTCACCTAAAGTGATTAAAATTAATTTTGAGCCAATTTACTTTTTTATTTCTCTGTTCATAAAACAGCTCTGCAATCTGAAGGATGCAAAGAGACCCAAATGAATTTACCCAAATATCAGAATATTATTCCAGGCATCTAATGACAGAGGCCTAGATCCATGAAATGTTGTATGCATGCAGTGGTTTTTTATGATTCTACAAATGTTGGCATTTGGGGAGGGAGGAGGAGGTTGCATTGCAACCCCAGATTAAAATGTGTATAGCTCTGGAATAATGTTCTGTAGAATAACTTGCAGTAATTACATCTAATGAATAAGAATATGGTGCCTGTAATCTTGGAGGATGTTTCTGATATATTGGACTCCAAATGTTGTCCTTGTCTTCCAATTCCTCAACTTTATCAGTATTTGATGCTGGATTTGCCCTAGGTAAAAATCATAATAAAGATCTCCTTACCATTTGTGTTATCACCAATGCTATTGGTTTTACCATTCCAGTACCATAGCAGCAGGGTGGCATCGCGAGACCCTGATAGAATATAACAGTTTCCTCCAATATAAGATTCAGAGCGGCCAAGGCAGGTAACAACGTCCCAGTGTCCAAACACAACTTGCATTAGTTTTCCTGTAACATACAAACATTTGTTTTCATTCATAGTAAGACCACATATTATAGGATTCATACTGATGAATAGATGGATGATTAGGAATCACTACATAATTAATATCCTATGTTCTCTTGAATTGGAAAGAATAAAATTAAAAGGTCACAGTTATTCTAGAGGACAAGGCACTGTCTGTCCAACTATCTTCTGGGAAAAGAATCTCTCTCCACCATTTATTTAGACAACTCATAACTGTTATTTGCCTTGACATTTGTTGAGCACATGATAATCAAGTACCAGAAAAAAGGAGTTCATTATTTGCCAGATTTCTACTCCTGATTATTGAAAACAAAGTCTTAAATACATCGCAAGTAAAGGCAACTGTATATTTCTTTTATTGTTTTATTCTTCTATCATTCAGATAAGAAACAATTATATTTACAAAGTACCTTGTCCATTCAAAATCCATTCATATGTTATTTACGATGAGAGCATGGTTTACCGCAGTCATATAAAGTAGCTGATAATAATTACTGCTGGAACAGAGGTAAGATATTGCATGATGCTCCTATGGTATCCTAACAGCTATTCATACATATTTAGCCATTCAGTTCATGGTATCTGAAATATCTGACCTCCTTTTTTATTTTCTTATTTTTAATGCATAATTAATATGCTATGTTTATTCAGTGAAGTGTGGACAGAGAAAGATGCAGAGAAAGTTAATCTCTGAAATCAATCAGTCAAAGAAACAAATATTTCTGAAGTTTGTTTTGAAAATTCTAAAGTGTTGATTTTATATTTGTTAGAAAATATAGGAAAAGGACTTGCACTGGAGTCAGATCTCATTAATATCTTGACAGTTGCAATACTTTGGTTTTTTTTAAAAAAGCAGCAGTTTTTGCAGTATTGACTTTAAAAACTGAAAATAATAGGCACCATTATCAGAGAGTTGATTACAATTCTGCTATGCTAGTTATTCTCAGAATACATAATTTACATTCAAGGTATTTGCTGTTACAATGCTCTCAACTGAAATCTGAATAATAAGATTAATTTACATAAATGCTAAAATATAATCAAAATGTTTATGACAACTTGCTATAGACTATTATGATAATCTTATCCTGTAATTTTTCCTTCTTTTCACAGCTCAGGAACCGGACAAATAATTAATAACTTTCAGACAAATACTCTTTGATTACTCAAAACAAAATGTAGAATAAAACGTATAATGAAAAAAAAAAACCTTTGCTTTTCCATTATATATTAATGGTTTCTTTCTACAAGTATTCTATTATACATTTTAAATATACAAGACAAAGCTGAATTTTGTCTTTATGAAAAAGTTGAATACACTAAAATTCTATGTTATTGATTTTTTTCCAAAGGATGAAAAAATACATTTTATTAAATAGTATCTTTTCTTATCTTTGTTTGCAAAAGAAATTGAAATCCAGTGATTTACTTTTCTAGCAGGGATCCGCCAAACTGGAAAATATGGACTGTCAAATGCTTTAATGATAAAATTGGTACTATGAAATTAGAATGAATAAGCTGGAAGGGACCTTGGAGGTCTTCTAGACCAGCCCCCTGCTCAAGCAGAAGAACCTATACTATTTCAGATAAGTGACTGTCTAGACCAGGGGTGTCAAATTTGTAGCCTGTGGGCTGGATGCGCCAAATGCTGGCCACGGCCACCCCTGGTTTAGTAAAGGGGAAAATGTGGCAATATGTCATGTGATGTTGCAGGTATGACACCCCTGGTCTAGACTCTTCTTAAAAACATCCAGTGATGGAGCACCCATGATTTCTGGAGGCAAGCTCTTCCACTGGTTAATTGTCCTCACTGTTAGGAAGTTTCTCCCTAATTCCAGGTTGCTTCTCTCTTTGATTAGTCTCTAACCATTGTTTCTTGTCCTACCCTCTGGTGTTTTAGAGACTAATTAAGAAGAAGACTCCTCCCTTTTCTTGGTGGCAGCCCCTCAAGTACTGGAGTACTGCTATCATGTCACCCCTAATTTGTCTTTTCTTTAGACTAGCCAAACTCAAATTCTGCAGCCATTCTTCATTTATTTTAGTATCTAGGCCTTTGATCTTCTTAGTTGCTCTTCTCTGAACTTTTTCCAAAGTTTCGACATCTTTTTTTGTAGCATGGTAACCAAAATTTGTTGCAATATTTCAGGTTTGGTTTTACTAGGGTTTTATAAAGCAGTACTAATACTTCACATGATCTTGATTCTATGCCTCTGTTTATACAACCCAGAATTGCATTAGCTTTTTGGGCTGCTGCAGTACACTGCTGGCTGTGGATGATCATTCAAGTGATCATCCACTATAGACTCCTATAAAAGACTGCAGTCATTTTACCTTCCATTTTCCCCCAAATTAAAGAAATGCTTTTGGGAGTATTTCAAGGGTTGAAAAACAAAACTGAGAGGAGCACATGCATCTCATAACCTACTGTTCTACTTTCTAGCAAATCTTTCTGGTTCTTTCTTCTTCTATATATCAGTAACATTTCTTGTGACTGACTCTAAACAGTTCAAAGGCCACACTTCTGATTGGAATTTCTGTTGTAAGTCTTTGCAGTTGTAAGTCAAGGTCCCAGTGACTGGATCTGATCTTCCTGCCATTTTTATGAAGGTTGTTAAGTGAAACACATAGTTGTTAAGCAAATACTTTTTTTGAGTAGGCCTTTTTGCTGGAAAAAAACCCATCATGAATCAGAGTCATATTATTACAGGACTCTACAACCAGTTGTAAACGCAAGCTGGTACCAAACAGCCGAAATGTGGCCAAATGACTGTGAGAGAAGTGGTTAATAGTACTACAACAATAGTACAGCCAAAAGCATCCTTTCCAAAGGAACTTGTAACTTCGAACAATTGTTAAACTATCAGTCTTATGCCAAGGACCACCTTTAAAGAATCAGTGGCCCTTGATGCATTTAAGTTACCTTCCACAGAGGTTTATTTCTCAACTATACCATTTGCTTAGCCAAAGGAGGCAACAGTTTTCATGATTCAGAGTGGTAGAAATAGAGGCAAGTTATCTGCAGCTTAATGGTATCCTCTGGTTGTGTCAATCAATGGAGCCCAGGATATACGACTTCTCTATTGTAGTGCCTACTATATGGAAAAACATTTCCTTCAAGAATCAGGCAGATCTAATTCTGTTGGCCTTAAAGACCTCTGCTATTTCATTTACACAATAAATAAATAAATAAATATTTTATTTATTTGTACTGTATTACTGTTGATCTTAAATGGCTGCCGGCTACCCAGACTCATGTGATGAGATGTGTGGTATGTGTCTTCTAAATAAATAAAATAAATAAGAAGGTGAAAAATTATAAGCAACGGAACAAGTTCAGTTTTGAGCTCCAAATAGGCCATGCAACTCTATGGATGCAGCTGAATGAATTAAAATGATTTTTACTCTAGTCAATTGAATTGAAAAAAGAAAGATGTAGTGGCCAGAACACCAGCTCCAGAACTACATGTTAAACAATGAACAGATGGAACACATTTGTTTGTTTCTAGATGCTACTAGCCATAGTAATTTGAACTGTTTAAATTCCCAGAACAGGTCTGAATCACAGTAAGCATAAGAGCACCAGTATGGAACTACAGCTGTATTATGTTTCAAGTTTCATGTATAATAAAGTCACTGAAAAAGGCCTTCAATTTCAAAAGATTTCCATTGGCTAAAAGCTCAGAAGTCAAAGCCATTGCTAGTACTGACAGGATCAATACACTACAAAAATATGATGAAGGAATAATGTAAAATGACATGTCACATATCTTAGCTATCACTCCTTATAGAATTTTGTGAAAAAAGAAAAACGTGGATTCTTTTGTGAAAAAAGAAACAAAAATGAACTAAAGATATATAGATTTCATGATTAGAAGATTAGAAAGGGAAGATAATGGAAAGAAGAAAACTTTGATATAACTTTAGAAAGAAAGGGCAAAAATATAAATGAACTTAAGTAATAAGTTAGTGGTAAATACATTTTATTGTATTTTTTCTTTTTCCTTCTTATGTATATTTACATCTTATATTTTTTACATTTTATTTTTTTCTATCTCATCTCTTTAACTCAAAATTTGTGTTGTTTTTACTCTATGAAAAAACTTTAATTTTGTGTGTATATGTATGAAGATCTTATCCATAATCTGAAAAACTATACCACAGCTATGTTCTCTACTATCAGCCTAGCCAAGGTGGGGTAATATAGTTTACCAGTGATGTAATGAATTAAGTTATGAGTCATACATTGCAACTTAATAGTCTTGTTCTGAAGAAGAAAAGCTGAAGCCAGATGTAAAAATTAAGAAGACTAAATGACTGCAGCAATAAGAAAAAAATGTGGGACTTTGATGCAGATACCCAAGATATCAAGCAGATGGAAAATATAGAGATTGATCTGTAACTGAGAAAGGTAAAGGACCAGCCTAAACCTATTGTTGAGATACAGTATGTGGATTCCACAATAGTTGATATGGACAACAACTATCAGTATACATTTTGTAAAGACAGACACTTGTGAGTGAATAGCTCCAGAATACAAGAATTGTATTTATTTATTCAATTAACCATTTATATAGTATGGTATAATATCTATATCCATCCATGGACAGGGACAGTTTAAATACTGGTAATTATGAGATATGGATTATCACCTTTTCTCCATAGACCAGAGGTGTCAAACTCAGGGCCTGGGAGCAGAATATGGCCGATGGGGTGCTTAGATGTGGCCCACAGGGCCACCCAGGAAACAGTGAAAGACTGGCCCGTGGTGCCTCTGCCAATGAAAATGGAGCTCAGTTGAGCTGCACGCAGCCCTCCCAAACTCTGTTTTCACTGGCAGAGGTTTTGCAAGAGGCTGTCACAGCTAAAAATGGAGCTTGGGAGCCAGTTTTCTCTGGCAGAGAGCTCAGGCCCCCATAGGTGACCCTGACACAAGTGACATCAAGTTGGCCATGCCCACCCTGCCCATGCCCCATCCCGAGGTCATCACAATGCTGATGTGCCCTCAATGAAATCGAGTTTGACACTCCTGCTATGTATTTAGCCCAGAAACTTTAGCGGCTGTAGTTTGGGACAAGTTTACTAAGTAGAGAAAAGTGACTATGTATTGTTGAAACAAATGCATAAGCTATGAAATAGCTACTGACCAGGGAGAAGTTTACACAACTTGTGATACACAAACTCTTAATCAACTTGATACCAAGATGCTTGCTGAATTAACATGTCACTTATGTGTTCCAAGACTGGCCGAGTGAGTCATTTACTTTTTATGCATGATTTGGTCTTTTATACAGTGACACCACTCTTTGGAGTATTTTCCTGGGGCATCTACTAATTACATCTATTAGGTATCCTACGGCAAGATTCTGTTAAATGAACTTCATGAACTATTAAAATCAATCCTTTCCCCTCTAACCTTATCTTTTTAAATAGCATATTTAAATAGCATATTTAATATCATATTTTAATTTAATTTTAATACTCTTAATATTTTTATATGTCAGATGAAACTGCAGAGTTTTATATCATTTAGCACAATGTATATTTTTAATATTTATTTCCAAATATTATTATTGTGGCTAGGTGGAAGCAGGAATGAAAATAATAAAGAACATGAGGTGGTAGATTTTTGTGTGTATATATTATCCCTATATTAGATCTTTATAAAAAGGGGTGCACAATCTAAATAATATTACAATAGTTTCAACATAATCTATTCTACATTGTGTTCTTCCATTCATCCTATATTTTGTATTATGGAATACAAGAAGAAAAACATCAGGAATACATTGCAATTATGCATTTTAAAGAGGCAAGAAAGCAGAAAATAAATTGAAGGTAGAGTTTGTTTTGGAAATTCAAGGTAAAAGCCAAACTGGACCTTCTTCAACCAATCAAATCTTCTCTTGTCCTGCAAATCCAATGCTCCCTACAATTTACTTAAATATTCGATTTGGCACTACTAATGAATTTTCAGAATGATGCAAAAAGAAAGAGTAAAGGTACCATTGTATGTCTCAATCAGTATTAAAATGTTAGCAAAAAGAAATATTTGATGTCTTGAGGGTAGAAAATAATAGGCAGATAGAAGGAGACAGTGGATGTATTTTTGATGTAAAATTACAGAGATGTTTTGGAAGAGTCAAGTGTTTTTCTTACACTTTACAGCAAGGATATAAAATTTGATATTCCTTCTTTTTTAAATATTAAAAACAAAATTAAATCCTCAACTGCAATTGAGCCTGGCAATTATAGTTATAAGTTGTGATGGTTGTAAATCAAGTCCTAGTATGAATGACCTTGTTATGACTTTTTGTGGTAGTCATTAAGTGACCATCATGGTCATTAAACAAGGGTTGTGCTCATTAAGTGAACCCACTGTATGATGTCTTTCACTGGAAGCTGAAGTAAAGGCTGGTTTTCATCTACAATCCCAGTCATGTGAGTAGAGGATACTGCAAATGGCTGTATAGGTGGGCTGGTTACCGAGTGACCAAAACACAGTCACATGACTGCATTGGGGGCCAACTATAGGAACGTTGGAACCGGGTAATAAGTATATTTTATGGGATCCTCAGAATTTTGAATGGTTGCTAAGTGATAAATTTAAATCAAGGACTACCGGTAATCAGTTTTGCTGTTTTGTAAAAATTGTACAAAAACAAAGTTTTAACAGTTTAATTAAACAGCTTCAGAAAAAGATTAATGTATTACATTAACTCACCCGTATCAGTAGAATACACCCGAAAACTTTTATCCCAAAATCCACAGACTAGGATGTAGCGATTATCTGAAGTGATAACAAAGCACTGGGAATGGACTTGAATACTTTGGTCCAGAAGATCTGTGATTTGCCTTCTGTGCATACCTGTATTGCTAGCTAAAAAAGGAGAAAATGAAAAGGCAAGAGAGAAATAATAGTTTACTCCAATTGAAAAATAAGTCTTAATTTCTTGCCAAACAATCTTAAATCAATAAGAGTATGATTCTTGGGACATCTTATTTCCATTTCTTTTTCCCAATTTTAATACAGGGTGCTCAGATTATTTCAAGAAATAAATCTTATAAGGCTCTGACTATCTCTCTCAAAAATAGGGATATGATAAAATTCATTTTTAGTGCAAGTTCAGCTTGCAAAACAAATTAGATAGACTACAATTTTAGTATGTATAAATTAATAAAACTTAAGCTTGACAAATTATAGGTAGCCTTCAAGGTATGAAAGACTATTTAAAGACCATTTGAAGTTACAAATGCACCACCAAAATGTACTTACAACATCTTGTACTTTGAATGTGATCACTCCCTCCTTTCACCCATGCACTTGCTAATTGAATGTGTGGCGCGTTAAATGCACATGAATTATCTCGGGGTAGGGAAAGTCATGGGGGGGTAGTGATGGAACAGGCCACCTGCTTCATATCACTTAAGACCTCCCCTGATGCACAGATACCTCATTCTCCCTCTCCTGTAATCTCCACAATTGCTGCCCCCCCATCCTGCCATGCTTTCTGATGAAGCTCTGTCTCCTCTCCATCATATTTCTTTCCCTGCTCTTCTTTGCCATGTGCACCATTCCGGGCCTCCTTTCTTACCGCCAAACTGCTTGTGGGAGTCTTGAGCAATGAAAAAGGAGGTGCGGAGAGCCACACGTGCCCTTCTGGGTTTCCTTTCCCTCTGCTGAACTGCTTGAGGAAGGATTTTGCTATGAAAAAGGAGGTGCAGAGGCCCACTCACGCATCTCCAGGCCTCCTTTCTCACTGCCGAAGTGCTTGGGGATTGCATCCCTGTAGGCTTCGACAGCCATTTACAAAAAGCCTTTGCCAGTAGGAACATAGCTTCGCTGGTACCAACAAAGGCTTTTTGCAAAGGGTTGCCAAAGTCTACAGGGATGTAATCTTCCTGTAGGTTTCGGCAAGGAAATGGCAAACAGAGGAAAGACCTGAAGGACCAAAGCCTTCCCTCCATTTTCAAACATCCAGGACTTAATTCACAGATAATAGAGGCCAAAAGTGTGATATCACATGAGATCATTAGCATGAGATCTCGCGCTACTGATCTCATGGTACTTTAGACCTCTACAAATGCACCGAAAGCCTGAAGCAACAAAGTAGGCAAAGAAACCCTGACGGAGAGGAAATCTTAGCAAAATAAGTGAGTCTCCACAAGCAGATTGCCTGTGAAGACCTGGTGTGTGTGTGTGTGTGTGTGTGTGTGTGTGTGTGTGTGTGTGTGTGTGTGTGTGTGAATAGGCAGGACAAATGTTGCATAGCCTCTACGGTAGTTTGTAAGGGTGAACAACTGCCGTGGTGCTGCAATATTCATAATTTCGGGACTTGCTCATAAACGTTAGGGGGCATTTATTGTGTAACTTCGAACATTTGCTAAGGGAACACTTGTAACCCGGGCATTACCTGTATTTGTAAGGATGTAAGGATTTTACAAATTGCTGTACTTGTCTGTTAGAACTTTTCAAAGATAAAGGGTTTTTTCATGATTATACTTGTATGTATTTGCCTTGGAATTGTTTGCAGAAATACTAGTACAAGAAATGTCTTTAAAAAGCAGATTCAATACTGTAAAGTTCCTTTGTATTCTACTGTACTGTGTTTGTTTGCAAATGTTTTGTGATTGCTTTCAGCAAGTTACTTTGCATTCCACTTACTGTGTTAGTTTGTGTGTGCTTTGAGATCACCTGTTTTTTGTTTTTAATTAAAAGGCAGCTTCTATGCACTGCTTTCAATTCCGGCAGTCTACCTGATCTACCAAAATATGGGGCGGAGCATATTGCTTCCGCTTGTGGAGATTATTTAATGACCCGAAAACAGCAAGCCCAATTTTCTTTCACTTAGTAACTTGATTGATTTGCTTAAGAATTGTGGTAAAAAATGACATAAAAATGAGTCCAATTCATTTTGTGACCATTTTTATTTACGACCCTAAAGAATTAGGGTTATACCTTGAGGACTACCTGTTATATAACCCTTAATGATTTAATTCATTATACAGATTGCAGATCACTAGGAGCTTTATTTGAAGAGGGAAACCTTTGGTCTATGTACTGCAGCAACACTGCATATATAAAATAATTATAAGATATATTAAACACAGTATCGATAAATATAATAAATAATAGTATGGAAATTAGGTACAGTAGTGATTTAAAGGATAACTTCAGATGAGATTTCATCTATATTTTATTTATTAAGTGAACCCTGGCATTTTCAGGAAAAGCATCATAAATTGTTATGTGACTGCCATATACTGCAAGCGACTGAAAATGTGGGCTAGTTGCTGACTGTCTGAAATGTGATCACATGACCAGAAAGGGCACTGGCCATCAGAACTGGGTCTTAAGTATGTTTGGGGCGGGGCTCATATTACGAATAGTCACTAAGTGACCAGTCATAAGTTGAGAACTGCTTGTTTTTCAAAATAGTATTGCAGATCATTTGCAGTAATTTACAATATTAATAAGCATCCTAAAACAAGCTGCTTAAGTATTAACTCCAGATATAATTTCTAGCTATAACTTTAATGTTATCAATAGTTACACATGCAACAGTTCTTAACATGTTGAGGGTAATATCTTTTTCAGACTGCACCTAGATTTAATATATTTATCTGCTAAGTGTCATTTATTCAATAGGTACTAATACGAATAACACTAACTTTGCATTTCATGATTCCCTCCCTCTATCAAAGGGAGATAATCTTAGCATCCAATCTATCAGTTGCATGCTAAATATTAATGTGGGATAAACTTAAAAGAAAAAGGCATGTGTGTTATTGTACTACTTTTCCAAAGTAAAATTACAGCCTGTATTTTGCTCACTGCAAGAATAAATCTTGCAGACATCCATGATAAGGGCTGAATAGAATAAGTCCTATACTTTAAACATTGAATATAAAATGTTTCACAGTTCATCTGTTACATATCTACTGATGCTTCCCAAGGGTTGTGATAAATACATTACAGAATATATTATATGAAATTTACTGATGCCTAAAAATAAAGGTTCACAAATCATCTAGTGAATTTTTTTCTTTGTGATTTAAGCAACAGCATTATATTACAATATTTGTGAATCAAGTTTATTATAAAATTTAATGTAGCTGAGAAACCATCTTCCTGCTTCCCTGGTTCTGATCCTGAAGTCAACCATAATTTAGTAAAAAAAAAAAAAAACTAATATCCTAACCTTAAAATGACTGAGCCATTTATTTCAACTCTGGAACTGCTCTGCAATTACACATTAATTCCATCAGCCTGAACAGCAGGCCTGTGGAAAAAAGGATTGATCTCCTGTAATTATAAAATTCTGGCACCAGAGTTTTATTTTTCACAACACAGTGCCACTAAGAACCCTACTGTTATTATGAAAATTTCCTCAGCAAAGAGCTCCATCACATTACTGGTGCACCAATTCATCATAACATGCTCATCAACAAGTCTGAGTGATGAAAAGGCCCAATATTATCCTGACAGTACTTCATGCGCATTCTCAATCACACATTATTACGGCATCCATATTAATTTTCATTGACACACGTCCTAGGCCTGTTCAAATTAGGCAAACCAATGAGGGGGAGTTGATGAAATACCAGCATAGCCACAGCTCATTGCATTCCAATTTGCATGCAAATGGTTTATCAGGAAAATTCCATTCCCAGCAACCAGCAAGTGAAAAACAACCGTAATCTACACTTCAGGGCCACCATACAGAGCTTAATGAATCGCAAAGAGAGAAGGAAGTGACAGACCTATGAGAGGATCGATTTCCACTGGCAGCTGGTATGGCTGGTCTTGTACAGCACCTTGATGAGCTAAAAGAATGAGAAAAGGCTTAGAGATAGTGCTATTTTAGGTACTAAAATCACACACACAAAAATTGTATAAATGAAGAATTATTGATACTGTCTTTTTAAGAATTGGATTTTCTCCCATTTAATAAATTATATCAGCCAAAATTTCAAGTTTTTTTTTAAAAGGTTTGTTTATACACTTATTTTATTCTATTTCTGTTCTCAGTGTATGCCATCACCAGAGATTTGGGCCATAAACTATAGCAGATGGTTAACCAGCAGCTTCTCATATTGCAAAAAAGAAAACAAATGGTAAAGAATGCTGAAAACAAAATGTGACAGCCACTTGCTATCGTGGATCTCATCTCCTTTCTTTAAGGGAACAAAAAAAAAACCCTTTGAATGGGATAACACAAATGTAATATTCATAAAAAATAACAGTTTTATATAAAAAGGAGATTTTTAGGTCATATAAATACAAAGGGGTATATTATCATTTAAAAGTAGTGTAAACAGAGAAAAATCTCATTTGTAACTTAGTTTTGTTTAATAAAAATGTATGAACAATTTTTGTATTCAAAACATTTTTTTTCTAAAGCTAAAATGCAAAATAATTATTTCCAGAATATTTTTCTCAAAATATCAATGAAACTTTGCAATAATGGAAACTAGCATAAGAAAAATCATACGCCCAATATCCCACCTTTTCACAGGCAAATTGCAAAGCATATGCTTATCATAAAATTAGCTTTGTTGGAATGATTACTTAGTTCATGTGGAATTTAGAAGTCTATGATTCACTAAAATCATAATAAGCACTATAAGTTTTTTCTCTATAAGGATAGATGTTCGACTGTACCCAGCAGTGAAATACTGTTAATTCAATAGAATGAAAGTATACAATTTTACTTACCTGAGTCAAGTGATATATGAGTATTTCCATATTTTTCATTTTTTTTAAAAAAATGGCAATAGGAATTATACAATAAAATAATAAACAATATTTTAAACAAGAATAAAAAGGCTAAGAGACCAGGAAGACATTGAAATGTAGCAGTAGTAGTAATAAAAGAGTGGACATTGAGTTTTTTCACAGAAATTTGATGAATTTCAGAAGTCAAAAGCAGCAAGGAAAAGATGGGGACAAAGGATTTGATAGGAGGGATGCTTTCGTGAAGCACAAAAGGGTTAATAGGGAAATGGGAATAATTGAGAACAGAAATATTGGATGCATTTACTATTTACCGGTACTATTTGGCTCAAATGTAAAAGCAATCACAAAAGATAAGCTGTTTTTCTCCAATATCCTGCCAACTGACAAACAGACATTATCCACTCCCTGACAGTTCAGACTAAATTTGGAGTAAAGTTGTTCACCTATCAGGAATAGCATTTCAACCAATTTACCAACTAATACATGAACATTTGTATTCAATTACAATTATTCCTAGACTGGTGGAAAACCTTGATGTAAAAAGCAGATAGACAAAGGACATTTGGAAATTTACAGAGGTCACATGTAATAGCCCTAAAATTATATAATTATATAATATATATAATTTGTTTCCACTACTCAAATTTAAACTGACACAGCAAACCAAGGATAATGCAAAGCTTCAAGATTTCACATTTCAACTCTGCCTACAGTTTTGTTTCCAGATTTTCTATCATCTTGCTAGAAATTGTAAAACATTGCTGATACTGCTCAGGTACTTAGTAAAACTTGATGCAAAAGAATGAGGTTGGTATTCTTATAATGTATTATTACATATAATTTGCATAGTTTACTGCATGGCATTTCTGAAATGATTAAAAGTTCTATTGCACTAATATAACTATGCTTATACTTCTTAAATACTATGGAAAGTAGTAGCCCTTTTGCACCTTAATACCACACACCAATTTGCTAATTATGTAATCAATAATTCTATACTTACCAGGAAGATTGTGCCACTTATTTACAGCAAATATTCGGTTGACGGTGACAGTAATCACAGCAGAATTTGCAAAACCAGGCTGAGTGTTGGCTGCTACATGAGTTACAGGAGAGTTGGATGGAAATTTTAGGACCATGATGACATCCTGTTGAGCTTGGTCTGTGAACATCAATGGACTCTGGAGAAGGAGATACTGTTGAGTGGGGAAAACAAGATCCCAAACACAAGGGAAAAAGGGAAAGGCAAAGAAGATTGGAAAGATAAGAAAGTGCAGGAACGGTGAAGACCCCGTTAAAAGAAGCAAAAAGCATCAGCAGCTGCAAATGAATACTAATGCAATAATTTTTCACAGGCTATGGAAACTATATTTTAATGAATACTTTGATTTCACATTAAAAATTAAATGAAGAGGAAAAAAAATCTAAATCCAGCAAGTCATCATTAAAACTTTTTCAAGTATCTGGGTATTAAAATTGCTACCATTTTTGATCACCAGATTCAGATGAAGAAAAGAAAGCCCCAATAAAAAGAGAAATAAAATCATGAAAATTTGTTCTCCAAAAAATTGTAAAACAGCTGTCATTTTTTCCATGATCACATATCTGCCCCGGGAAAAGACACAGCCTTTTTAAAAAAGTAGCAAATGAAGGGTCTTTTTCAAATTGAACTTTAAGTATTATTGTATACAGCAGGGGTGTCAAACTGGTGGCTTATGGGACAGATGCATTATGCACATGCCACGCTGACACTGGCTCTGCAAAGGCAAAAAATGTTGTGATATGTCACATGACACCATGTGGCACGATTGAATTTGACACCCGTGATACACTGCTTGATAATCTTGACATTAATGTAGGAATATTAATTCAAATTAATTATAGAATATAGGTTTTTACAGCTGTTATATTTTCATAAAATGAATATGTGCTGATGTTTCCTTAGACTCTTCAGAGCAGAACAATGTTATATGATAAAAAATAAGGATGTCACATCTGAAGTCAAATTCTATTTTAGAATTTGTTCTAATAAAGCCGTGTAGTAGCTGATATTCAACTGAATCAACACCTATTCATTATCGCACCCAACTTTTCCAGGAAATCATTTCACTAGTCAATCCATATTAATTTAATTATTAACTAATAGATTCTACAATTAAGCATGTATTTTTGGGCTGTTTTCTGTTTAGTTACATTACAGATACCCTGACTTCATTCAAAGTTTTCCTTCAATATCTGCTTCATTCATGATACAAGTCTAAGAAGTAGATTTTAAATAAGTATAGATGTAAATTTTAAAGAATAGGAAAAAAGTACAGATATAAATTTTAAAGAAGAGTAAACTAAAGCAAGTTCAATGTTATTAACATGATGTATTCAGTAATATTTCCAAATGAAGAATTTTAATTTGGAAATATTATTAATTAATCAAAATATTTTCTGCAGCTATTCTATGTTTTCCTCCACTATTGATTTGTTTCTGATAAAATAACAACAACAACAACAACAATATAAAGCAGGGTTCTCGTGCTGGTTGGGAAATTCTGGGAGTTGAAATCCACAAGTTTAAAGTTGCCAGGTTTGGAGAACGCTTGGATGAGGTGGGGAAAATCAGGAAATGTTGCAAATAAAAAAGGATGTAATATTGTCAAACTCCATAATGTTAGCAAGTTCAGGAAGCACTGGATTTCTGGAAATATTATTATTATTATCATCATCAAGGTAATACAATAAAGCTCCAAAACCAATTGAAATAATTATTTCACACAATTTATACCTAATGTAATTAAGGCAGAGTTAAGGAGTCTCTTTCTCACATTTCCCGCTCCCTTCGATTCAGGACTCTTATCTGTAATGCACCAACCCTATTTCTTCCCTTATCCCTCTTACTCCATGTTCTCAAGGTCCAATAAGACATTCCATCACAAAGATGAAACTCTTATGCTCCAATTTCGCAACAACCACATAATATCTCTAACTATGATTCATTTAAGTATCTTATAGATTTCAAGAGGTTAACTTAATCTGGATATAACCCAATTAACGATCAAATTTAATTCCAAGTTTTATAAATACTTTTTTAAGAATTAAATTTCTAGCAATTCCTTGGTTGCTACAACACTTTTTACTAACCTTTGTCTTCCTGGAAAGCTAGAATTCAGTAAAGCTCTTCTAGGAGAACCTTGTGGCTATGGAGCTACTTAGACCTAGAACTCTAACTTGGCAGCAGGCAGGTTGACACAGTTTCCGCAGAGCAAACTAGGTTTCCAGCATGACAAAGTATAAATAGGGAAACATTCATGCCAACAGACTACCTATTTAATATCACTTGCCTAATGCATTGCAGATGTTTTAATTTTAATGTTTTCACTTTGCAATTTTGTATCCTGCCTTCATAACTCTATTTGATAATAGAAGTTTCATTTGTTAAGAGGTTGACTTTCTTTGCTATGTATTGTCTGTCGAACCCTAATATCTATAGAAGAGTCATTAAAAATGACTCAAAATATTAGGAATACTAATTTGGTGTACACATATATACACATCCTTTAAATATTACATCAGATTATATATTTGATGAAGCTATAAAATAACTGATGTCAAAGGAATTATCAAGATGCAGTCTTTACTCTCATCATTGTTATAACATTTTGGAAGTAGGAATTACAGCCCTATTCTAAGAAAGTGCTGTTAGCTTATATTATCAAAATTCATGCTTTCGCATCTTTTCTAAAACTGTTTGAGATAACTAATATGTAACAGCTGAACAAATAAAATAACTGATTGTTAGTGAGTATGGTATTAATGTACACTCTGCTGAATAAAGTTATTATTTATATATTTATTACTAATATTATGTGAGAATAATCCTGAAATACTAAGTTTGAATACAGGGACAATGGTTTTTGCCTAGTTATCCTTAGTTGTATATGTACATTTAGTTATAGATAAATAATGCATTTTTATATCACTCCTTTGAAGAAAAGACATTAAGAGTACTTAGAAAAACATATTGCACTATGAATTCCTATTTGTAATCTTTGCATGAAGGTGTAAATAAAAACAACTAATAAGCTACCCAGACACACTTTTGAGCAAGTGGCTAAAAGCCAATCAATATTATGAGTTAATCCTCCCTGGATGCTCATTCAATTAAAGGTGTCAGTAATGCCTCATCTGATGTGGCCTCAATTAAATTCAGCTATCTGATGGTGTGAAAACACAAGGGGATACAGCAACAGCAGCCAAACCAGACAAATAGGCAGCCTCCTTGTGATTGCTAATTACTACACCTGGTGCATATTATGGCCTGTGCATTTAACACAGCCCATGGTGCCTTTAATGGCTTCTCCACACAGAACCCAGAGAAATTAGTGGAACTTTTAGCAATTAAACCAATCATTACAATGGTAGAACTTTGATTTGGTGTTAACATAGCATGGAATGAAAACATTTTTTGTCATTCTCATCTTAACCCCCCCCCCCCAAATTAAAACACAAGAATAAAAATGTGAACTTTAAAACTACTCTCTGAAGTTATTGTTTCTACAACATTTGCAGAGAAGCGAGAGTCAGTTCATGTTTGTCTCTGTGGCAGCTCTCTGAAATGCTAAAACTGTATATTTTTTGCATATAATATAGACATACACACATGTATGTGATCTATTTCTTTAAATGGTAGGAATTGCCTGAATTGAATTCTTGATTTTCAACCAAATAGCCATAGTGTTATCTGATGTTAAATGACAATGATCTAAATCCACCCACTAATTTCAAAATGCTTACACAAACTTAAATTTTTAATGAAATTTGGTAAAAGCAGTATTGATTAGATTTATATTTTGCTTTTATTTTTGTTTTCACTTCAAAAGACATCATTAATTTCTTTCCATTTCTGTGTATCTCTCCACTCTTTTTTATTTCTAAATTGCAATTCTATGTGAAAAGGAATATCAAATACTAAGAACTGATTTAAATATCATCTGAATATTTTTGAACATATAAAATAGCTTTGTAAAATCATATTTTGTACACCTGCCCATGTACAAAAAGAGAACAATAAAGTGCACACTTGAGTTTACTAACTATGATTATGTTGTGTTGTCCCTGAAATTAAAATGGAGCATCACTATTTAAAAATTTCTATATTCATCTGAGTAAACTTAAATAAGATCTCTAAAATAATGATGTGCTCCAGTGGAATTCTGATAAATTGTAATACATTATAATTTCAGTGGAAGAATGAATATTTTAAAACGTTACACTATGAAAATATAAGTTCTGGTATGCGTGCAAAAATGTTGTATTTTATACATTTGAAACAAAGAGAAGATTTGTGTATTTGAATTCAGAGTAGCCATTTTACCAAGGTGTAAAATCTGGACCCAACTTACCAACTGCATAGCAGAACTTCTTGGAGGATGTGGTTCTATAAGCACTTGGGAAGGAGTCTGTCCAAAACTTCGGATCTGAGCTTCCACTGCCTGGAATAGACATCATCAATACATTCTTATGTGGAACATGATTAGATTTTATCATAAATTACATTTAAAAATATTCAGCGATAAGTCATGGCTCATTAGAAATTTGTCATACTGACAAACCTATAAATAGTTACAAAACAAATAAATTTTCCTGCTTTCTCTAGTAATAAAGAGACTAGAGATAAATATATTTTGTTTGGCAGCAACTTACTGTGTTATATGTTTATGTCTGAAAAGAACTACAAAATGTAATTTAAAAAAAAAGGTTGGAGAGGTATGAAAGACAAAATGAAATACTAGATTATTTATAGTTTTTAGTGAAAATAATGACAATGATTAAAATATTCCAAATGCAATATTACAAACAAGTTCTAGCTGAAATTTAGTGAAAATCTTGAACATTAATGAGCAACATGCATAAAAATGAGCATTCACACGGGCAGTACAATATATGTTGAAGGTACCGATTGACAGTGAAACTGAAAATAACTTTGAAAAAACATTCATTTGTCCATCATATATATAGCAATAGCAATAGCAGTAGACTTATATACCGCTTCATAGGCCTTTCAGGCCTCTCTAAGCGGTTTACAGAGTCAGCATATTGCCCCCAACAATCTGGGTCCTCATTTTACCCACCTCGGAAGGATGGAAGGCTGAGTCAACCCTGAGCCGGTGAGATTTGAACCGCTGACCTGCTGATCTAGCAGTAGCCTGCAGTGCTGCATTTAACCACTGCGCCACCTTGGCTCTTAGCTTTAGGAAGTACATGTACAACTGAACTTGCATCTAAACTTGCATTTAGAGAAGGTTCTTCACCATCTTTTTGCTATTTCACCTGCCGTTTCTGAGATTTCTAGATGACGCTACCATCTCCACATTTTCAGAAGGCCATTTATATAGTTTATCAAAATCGGACACATATTGCAAGGCAAACTAAAGCTGTTGCAGTCTCAGGTGCATACTTGGGATACAGCTTTCTTGGTCACACTTCAGCGTTTAGTAAATGCAAACTAGTTACAATTTGGAATTTTACATTCAACAAAGAAAATGAACTAATTTAACAACAAGTTTTTACAAATTCTGTTCCTTGTTTATCAATGTTTTTGAAGCCCCTACAATCACTGAAAACTAATGCAGAGAATTAAGGAATTGCTTTGAAGAATATGGACTATTTTGCAGGCAATGAGAAGAAACACCACCAAAACACAGAAGGCATATTGCTTTAGAACAAGGCAGAGATGGTAAAGTTATATGAAAGTTAACTTTTAAGTTTATAGAGGTTTTTTTTTAATTGTGCCTTTGAATCAGTGTTGGCTTCCTAGGGCTGAAAATGAAAAAATATCTCTTTGAGATTGTAAAGATAACCCTGTCTGCATGAATACTTCTCTTAATAACAGAAAATAAATAACATAACAAGACAACACACTATAAACCAGTTAATTTTATAATCATTCAATTCCCTAACCATTTACCTGAAAATAAATTTTAGTGAACATAGTATCATTATCAAACCTTTATTATTGTCATAGATCAGCACAAGGAGGGGAGGGGGTAAAGTCAATGCAACTCATAGATGATATATCTAAAACAATTATGAAATGCTAAAAATATAAACATATGTTTTAAAACAGAAAAATTATATAAAAGCTGAAAAGGGGTAGTATTAAAGGTTAGCATGTGAAAGACACTATCAAATTTCAGAGCATTCTAGTATGGTGAATGGGAAGCTCATTAAGTCTAGTTTATGGTACAGGTCATCATCAAAAGAATTTTAAGCACTGCTGAGCAAAAACCTGGCAACATAGAATGTTGTAATAGGGCTGATATCTGAAAGCAGCAAAGAGGTGTAGAAGGGGTGTCTTGTATATTCTGGATATTTACACAATAACAGTGAGATGAGGCTAGTACAAATGTCTCTATTTAGCAGGCACTGAAGAAGCAGATGCTCTGTTGTTTTTGTATGTCCAAAGTTACAGGGCCATTGGCTCTTGGATAAGGTATCTATCTCTACCTACCATCCTATCCTCCTACCTGCCTGCCTGCCTACCTACTTTTATTTTGGTAAAAAATGGGTGAATATGTATATATGTTTGTAGGTATGTATGCAGCTATGTGTTTGTATGCAGGCATATAAAGAAAGTATATAAATAAAAATAAAAAATAGAAAAGCAAATTGAAAGAGAGGAAAAGAAAGGTTATAAAGAAGTAGCTTCCAAGCTTTTGGAAGTGATTATATTATATTATATAAGGGTTATATTATATAGCCAGTTTGGTCTAGTAGTTAAGGCAACAGGCTAGAAAGCAGTTCTAATCCCACTTAGCCATGAAAACCAACAGGTGACTTGGGGTGACCTTGGGCCAATCACTCTCCTTCACATCAACTCACCTCACAGGATTGTGGAAGGTGTGTTGGATATGTTTATCACCTTGTGTTATTTATAAAATTATAAAGTTGTAATAAATAAATTAAATATTTTTTTCTATCTCTGTCCTAAATTACATCATAATTTCCTTCTTTCCATAAGTTACCCTTGCTAATATTTAAACACATAAACCACAAGTTCATTTTTTTTCTTTTTTTTCAGCAAAAAGTTCATAGGGGATTTCAGTCACTGCTAAATGTAATTTTTGATTTTTTTCAAATCAAAAAGGTTAATTTTACCATATTTGTTAGATCTGTCATTTTCATCAACATTTCTAGTATTGACCGATGACCATAGCAACCATTCCATGTTAAAATGGCACTGAATGAATAGTGGTTATGACCAGTCTTGGTGTTTCAGCATCCATACAGTCACATGATCTGACTGTTTGTCAAACTGTTAGTACTTACAAGCATGGCCAAGTGCCCCACAATCACATGATCACCATTTGCAATGTTCCCTGCTGACTTCCTCAGGAAATCAATAGCAAAGCAGAGAGGGAAGGCTGGAAGTTGCTGAGGTGAGTCTCCCTCATCTGCACTGTCTCATCTAGCCCCTCTGTGCTTTGCACTATGCTGACCACTTATGCATTCTCCCTGACCCTTGCCATGCCCCCTTCACATCCCCTTTACATCTTTCCCTGACAATAACCCTGACCCAATCCATCCCAACAAACAGTCTGAAATGCTTGGTTCTGGACAGTAAAGAATAGAGATTTGGCCAGATAGAAAATCAAAAGACTTTTTAGGAATCCTTACATTTAAATTCTTAGATCATTGGAAAGTAGGCACTTTTTATTTCAGTATCTAAATAATGCAACATTTGCTTAATATGAATATATGGAACAAAAATAATATCTTTGTGCTATTTATCAATTCTGAAAATTAGAATCGTAAAATATTTGGGTTAATATTGCTTTCAGATGCTGTTTTCCTCCACCACTACTTACATATCCCAGAATATGCATATGTATGAAAACAAAGTGTATTCCAAAACATTAAGGTGAATGAAATCTGTATAACCTAGATTTTTTTAGAACTGTAACAATTCATTTCACGTAAGAAAATTAATAAAACTTATTTTTGTTCAACCTAATTATGAAAATGATTCCTGCAGGCATAATTACGTTGCAACTGAGTTAAAACAGAGAAGTAATTATAGCCTGCAAAAACGATTTATTTCTCCCTCAGTGGAGAAGTTTTGCAACTTTCTCTAATCTGAGCCTGTACATTCCAGACATATTAAACTGAGGCCTAGTACAGCTCAATGCAATCTTCAAACCATGCAAACTGTCCATCTACCACATTGTAATCCCAGCTGCCAATCTGAAATAAACCAGCTAGGCAGAGCAGACATAACCTACAGAAACAAATGCCACTCAATAATGTTTAGAGGCACTGGGTTCATGGATAATTTCAAACAGTGTCTTTGTCTGGAACATTGATGTGCTCACTGAGAACACCTAAATCTCTGGCTACTGGAAACAAGCAGATAAAGCGGAATAAGAAAAATGAGCTTTGAAAATACTTCAAAGAGACAAAGAAAAAATGGCAAATGATTTCAAAGAAACTATAAGGAAGACTGGAGAGAATACATGCAATGCTGCAAATATTTGGGGTTGAAATAGATTTCCATATGAGATTAGGGACTATCACTTTGCATATATCATCATAATAAAACTATCATTCAGGATGCATATCAAAAGTCACAGTGCTGGATATGAGGCACTTAACTTACCCATATCAAGATTTCAAGTTAATTATTACTAGATGCTGTCAGTGGCAAAGGAATATCCTATAGAGATTGCCAATTTAAACACAAGTTAATTGTAATACATAATTCTATCCAGTGTATTGACTTTGGCATGATTAACTTCCTTATATTGTGTGAAATTTATTTTTCAACACGTTCGTGATGGATCAAACATACTCTTACATTTCCTCTATTAAATATTACATCCCTAAATAGTATGTTTGGATTCAATATATTTTTAAAAAACATTAAATAAGAAACTGGTACCATTTAATGGTATTTTACATGGAGGTTTTCAATTAAGTTTAGACTAATCCTTAACATTTATTTAGCTTTTCACACACAGTTCCTGTGCTGCACTGTGTCAAACAAACCATCTGGACAGCATACTTCTGGCTACAGCTTCTACCAAGATAATTTGCTTCCAAAAACCTTCGAGCGGTGTCTATGTGGAGTCCTCATTTATTTAATTCACACTTTCAGAATAAATGTCTGTGTTGAAACATTTTCTAATAATTATACTAATTTTCTAAGACATCTAGAAACACCTATTCATAAAAAGACCACTGCAAATAAGTTGAAAGTATTTAGCAGCTGTTGAACTATGCTGTAAATACAAATTGCATTTGACTTTGTGAACGATTCATTGGCTAAGTTATCTTCTTATGATTTAAAACTGAAATTTCCAGCTTCCACCAAGAATTTTAAAAAAGCATGAGATGTCATGAGATTTTTAAAGGACATCGGAGATCAGAGTTCAAATCCTGGCTACCTAACTTACCCATAAGGGTCCTTGGGAAAGCATCCCCTAATGCTTCACCTGCATATTACAAATATTAGAGTGATGCAAAGTAGTAGAATCGTGCTTGTTTGGACAGTGTCCAGAATAACAAAGTCCACATCAGATGTCTGAAGCCCTAGACAGCTAATAAAGGTTCCCAGCACTGGCTATGAGGCTAAGGAGATACACTAGAGAAGCAGAGGTCAAGAAGATAACTGCTCTGTTCCACTATCCCGCTGGAAAATGAATGAGACCTAAACCTGTTGGCCTTTCATTAGGCCTTCAAAATTGGCTATGTCATCAGGCATTGGGACTGTAATGTATAGGAGAGTCTGTGAGATGATTATGTTGTTAAGTTGTTTGTGTTTTTTATATTGACTGCTGGTAATTTATTGTTATGTTGCTGTTATGTTGTATTTTTAGTGTCCATTGCCTAAAATTATCGTTAGAGTTGTTGAGATGGGTGACAGTTTCAATTGAAATAAATAAATAAATAAACAAACAAACAAACAAACAAACAAACAAACAAACAAACCCAGATAATGCCTTCCAAAAGTGCATTAATTCCATTGCAATTCTTTTCCACAATATAACCTGGAAGAAATGTGCCTTGGTATTTTTAATGCAAGAATTTTCATCATATTAAAAAATAAAACAATTATTAATTAAGCAAGTTTCAATATATGTACCATTGAACCATGAAGTTTTTCAGGGTAAGAATTATTCCTATTGTGTTGTTGATATCGTCTTGGATCCTAATTAATGTTACACTATCATAAGCATTCTCTCAGTAGAATTTTATTTATAGAAAATTGACATCTTTAAAACAGGGATAAACATTTTTCCCCCATGATAAACATTACTGGCTACAGTCTCCAGAAATTTATTCCATAGTGTTAGTAAAATGTCTGGATCAATGTTGAGAGGACATAATGAGCTATAAAAACAAATCAATTTCTATCTTCTTGACCTATGAAAGTTTTTTGTAAAATCAAACATAAGAGAAAATTCAAATTCAGCCTAATATTTAGATATACAGTTATAGTCTCAGTTTAATTATTATATAAATAAAGCATCCTAAATAAACAACTTCCTTTAAAGCATTTTTTCTTTGCGATAAAAGACCAAATGTACTTGTGAATTCATAGACATTTACTTCAATATGTTAGTTTAAGAAACTGTGTTCCATTGTAATTGGTCTCAGAGGCTCTTATATTGCAAAGCAATAAAAATTTAAAATGTTTAGAGAAGTTGGCAAACCTCTTTATAGACAGCAAACTATTTTTATGAACTAACAAAAATATTTCACTTTTATTCAAACTATAATTTCTGACCAATCAAGCCAATGCTGGTCATATAAATTGCTCTCAATTTTGGAATGTTAGAATAAATCTTTGAAGAGACAGATTAACAGACAGGGAGATGATGAGTTAGTATGAGGGTGTGTAAGAAATTCATTTATGAAATGGATTGACAGTGTATCATATACATATTGGTATGATTACATGGAGATATGCATAGAACTTTCATATTTCTTATGCCTTCTTCCATAGCTAAAAGAAAAATGATTCTCCAGTAGTAATGGTAGGAAAGAATTCTTCTTTGAATCTCTAAGTCTTTGGTATTACTTCATATACAGTGCATTACAAATAGCAAGAAGCCCAAGAATAATTTATTTTAGACTTTAATGTACATTTTTTTAAAAAGAATATCTTACATTGCGTAAGAAAAAAACCCTTATAAGTAGTTTAATAATCAAGAAATGTAAATGTCCCTTGAAAGTAGCTCTGTTTACATTCCATATTATGAACCAAACAGAACATTCATTGACCATGTCTCCTTATCACAGTAAGTGTTAAATCTTCAGAGTTTTTGCTTGCCATGGCTTTAGTCAGTTAAAAGGAAGATGAACAAACATTTGCTAACCATTCTAAAGTTAATATCAAGATTGAAACTGATTCTCTGTTTTATTTTAAGATTAGAAATAAGGTAAAATTAACATTTTTGTATTATTTTCCTCAAGGGCTTTTGAGCAAGAGGTGAGGTACCTTATTTGACATTTATTTCTTAATTGCTATAACTATTGGATGCTCTTTATTCATTTGTTAATTCCTAACAGGGAAAGAATAAACTGCATTTTCCTTTATATTCTGTTGTTCATTATTCAGAAATTCTCTTCTGGTATATTATGCCTTAGGCTTAGAGATTCAAAGAAGAATTCTTTCCTACCATGTCTTTTTTCTATTCCTAATCTGCAATATTATATAGTCCAAACCTTTTCATTGGTCTGTTTTATCCTTTAGCTCATACATCGTGAAGAACATAAGAAATTATTAAAACCTAAGAAAATGTTGATATGAGGAAAAGCAAAATAAATTACCAAGTATTTCAGAACGTCAACAGAAGGATTATTTCTGTATTAATTGATCACAAGGCTTTCAAAAATTAATTACATTTTTACTAATAAACATAGTTTAGGCCAAAATATTAGTAAGCTTCATTCTTTTGTTTGTTAGGACTGTTTTTTAGAACTGTTTATTAAACTGTTTTTAAACAATTAAAGACTCCCTCAATGTTTAAAGTGCAGCAGACTGTTAAGCTATAACATCATAGAAATAGTAAAATAGGGAACAGACCTTTTTATTCACAAATTATTGTAATGCTGTTTTTCCACATGTGTTGGCTATCTAGGAAATTAACATAGTGAGAACTTCTTTGTTCTTTCAAAATTCCAGATTTCTTGGCAAAAAGAAAACAGCATTCTGTATGTCCCTTTGTGTAATAAAGACATTTAATCACATACTAATCTTGAACTCTTTGTATTTTAAAAGATATTACAAAGAATGCATGGATACCATGACTTCTTGTCTTATACATGTTTGCAAGTAGAATTTATGTCATATCAATTTACCTAATTCTAGTTAATTAATTGTGGTGTGTAGAAGGCTAGGAAACCCCCATGGTTACCCTAGCAGCTTTCTATACTAGATTTAACTATGGAAATGGGTTAATAACAAATAAACAGATGCAGACACATAGACACACACTCCTAAAATATCATGACAAGAAGACTCAGAAATTAGAGGTTCTGCCTTAAGTCCATTGTTTATGCTCTTTAGAAGCATGTCAGAAAATCATAAATAAAAATGAACTTTGTTAACTGCAAGAAAATAAAAATGGCTATGATTGGATTCAAGCAGAAAAGCCAAAACATGTTAATGCCAGTAAGGACAAAAGCAGTGGTGCAAGCTGTTTTTAAATCAATTATTCAAATAGTTATTCTCTTACAAATTCAGAAAGCAATATTTCAAATGTGAATTTCATGTACGTAGCAGCATTTTATAAGGTTTGCCAAATCTATAATTACATGTTGTACACTCTCTTGTTGATAAAGATCTGTTTGCTTTAAATTATGAATAAATAAACTCTTAAAAGGATTACATATGAAAAAAGACCCAAGCATTTTTAGTGCTTGCATAAAAATTGGTGCACTAATTACATCATTTCCTAGGCTTTTTTCTAAAAAAAATTCAAAAAACCCCACAGTGGAAAAATCTAGAAAGAATATTTCATTATATTTTAAATCCACAATTCTTGTTATAAAAGCTTATAATAATATACCTAAAATTTACAGAGAGAACAATCAACAGTGATGTATATTTTCTTTCTTTTACATGAAGTCTTATAGCTTTCCAAAACCTCCCCAAAATCATTTTATTCAAAAATACTTGCTAGGCACAGTATTTCCCTTTTCAGTTTCCCAAACTGCTTTTTCCATTTGTAGCAAACCTTGTAGAGAGAAGACCATTGCCAAAGAAACAAGGCAGAAAGGAGAAAACTGTCTTACTAATAACTTACAAAATTTGTTTTGAACAATTATGCCATGTGTAACCAAAATAAATCTAAGGAGTTATGTTAGTATAGGTAGGATAGAAAATATCCTTTAAAACAGGGTTCCCCAACTTGTGAGCCGCAGCCCACTACTGGGCCATAGGCTAATCGCCACCACACCACATGAGTGTCTGGACAGGGCACGCACCTCTGCACATGCACACAACCCACTTGTGAGAGCATCAGCATGGGCGCTCACGGCCCCTCACTTGAGTGTCGCCATGGATATTGCACTTTCCCCTCCCAAAATCATCTCCTCTTTCCCCACTCTAAATGTCCCGGGTCACCAATGTGGAAAGGTTGGGGAACTTTGTTTTAAAATGTCTATAAATCTTTTAAACTACAATAAAATCAAATATGCTTTATCAATATTTCAAAAAGTCCAACATTCCTTCATAAATTTTTATTCTCCCAAGTATGAACATGCTTACCTCCCTCAACATTGGATCCATTATTGAATTGAGATTGACAGCTCCTTCATAGGTCAGATAGTAGAAAACATTTAGAGATCTGACAGCTTCTGGCCCTTGCTGCTTATAGCCAAAAATCAAATCAATCCACTGGTGCAGTTGACAGGAAACAAATTCACTTTCTAAAGCCTGAAACAAAATACAACACTGGTTATATTGTTTCTCAAACTTATTTTCTGTCCACCATCTTACATAAACCACAATGCAAAGGTTAGAAATATGCAAGCGCCTTAGAGAAAAAAGGTTATTTCACAAACTATGACGATGCTAATTATGCCTTTTAGAATATGTTGAACCAACTGTGCCTTGCAAGTCCCTAATGGAGTTTTAAACATTTGCAATAGAGTTGTGCTAGTATTAAAATAATTCAAGGTTGTACTATGAACAATTAAATTCACCATGGATGAGTAATCATTGTCTAATCTGACAATAATAGGAAAGGACAAGACAGACTATATTAATCATCCCAATCTTGTACCTTTCAGTTGTGTGGGCACCTGTGTCTCACCACATTGGAAGAGTATCACCTTGGGAAAGAAAATACTACTATATAGCTAAAGAAAAAATGCTGCAGCCTTATAATTTATGCACTGTTTCCAACTGTTGGAAACAATAGAGATAGCCACTACCTTAAAATGATGCAATCTATCTATTGAATGTAATACAACTATCACAACTTATAATTTATTACATCTATCTTGAATTTTGACAAAATGGCATAAATAGTTAAAAGGCAATTGGTAAATTTTACTATAACTGATATGTTAAATGGTAGTTTTCTGGAGTATACACATAATTGTCAATTACAATTTCCTCTGTAGTATGGAAAAATGCAACAAACATACTAGAGTTTCAGACTTCCATACTGCATCATTTACCTTCATCTATAGGTGTCAATAGTTTTCAAGAAGTGATTAATGTGTAAACCAGTATTACTTCAAATAGAGCCTAATTTTGAAATCTTAGATTTCCTTCACTACTAGATCTCCTATAGATAATTAAAATGAATCAGCACTAACCTTTTGAAGGTTAATTAAATAATTTATTATATAAATTAATTGTACATAAATATATAAATTAATTAAATATCATAATTAAATAATGATTAGTTATTTAAATAATTAAAACAATAACTGTAATAGTAATATAAATATTGATTTTAATATTGATTTTAATATTTATGAGCCGCGGTGGCACAATGGTTTGAGTGCAGTACTGCAGGCTGCTTCTGCTGATCACCGGCTGCCAGCAGTTTGGCAAATCGAATCTCATCAGACTCAAGGTTGCTTTAGCCTTCCATAGTTCCGAGATCAGTAAATGAGGACCCAGATTGTTGGGGGCAATATGCTGACTCTGTAAACTGTTTAGAGAGGGCTGTAAAGCACTAGGAAGCAGTATATAAGTCTAAGTGCTATCGCTATTATTAATAATTCACCAATACAATAATAAAATAATTAAAAGCATTACAAAAATCTCATTCCGGAATCTTGTCTTATAAAAGGAATCATGTAATTTCTAAATCAGTTTAAGTTATAACTGCTACACATCATTAAACACATCATTAATGAACAGGATTGACTTTTTAAAAATCCCATCTCTTATTTCATTTATTATATTCTCTTCAAGCAATATAAAGCTAAACTGATCATTATATAAAATAATGCTTTCTTTCAACAATCTCTTTTTACAAAGACTTCAAATAATTATAAATTCCATTTAAAATATAGTTTCCAAACACATAACTTATATTTTATATCTTGATAGAAATCATTTGATAGATGATTTCTCAGATTCATTAAAAGAAGTCTAGTGATTCTAGGACTGTAAGCCCTAAAAGTCAGATCTCACTAAGAAACATACACATGAAAACCTTAAACTACTCTTACTAGAACAGTGTTTTTCAACCTTTTTTGTGCAAAGGCACACTTTTTTCATGAAAAAAATCACGAGGCACACCACCATTAGAAAATGTTAAAAAAAATTAACTCTGTGCCTATATTGACTATATATAAAGTAATTTCCCACGGAACACCTTACACTATGTCACGGCACACTAGTGTGCCACGGCACAGTGGTTGAAAAACACTGCACTAGAACAACTACTGGATCTTACAAGTCTGAACGTGCTTCTTTCCTCCCTTTTTTAATCATGAGAATTAAGCTGGAAGACATATTTGAAATATATTTATAAATCACTTTCCTGGGCTGGGTTCAATCTTGTTTATCTGAATTGATAGAGGGTCTTCCCTCTGTCCTTCTCACTGTAGATGTACATGTAACAAATGTTTATGCAAAAAATTCCTGCAGTCTTCAAAATTTTTTGATTGATTAGTGCTATCACATCAGTGTCAACTCTAAATAACTTCATATTTTTTTCCATGACAATAAACTCTAGTCTGTTCTTCCAGGTCTTCACCACTGAAGCTAAGACCATTTGCCGTTCTGATGGTCATCCTCTTGATTTCCCTTCTTTTTGTTCCAGCAATAGAACCTTTAGAGCAGGGGTGTCAAACTCACATAGTCACATTGTCATCATGTGACGTATCGGGAATTTCCACCCCCCTTTGCTAAACCAGAGTGTGAGTGTGACCAGCATGTGAAACATCCAGCCCATGGGCTGTGAGTTTGACATCCCAGCTTTAGAGAGTAGTGCAATAATCTGAGACTGATCATTGGTGGCTCAAGAAATTTTGATTTGTTTGTTGATCCATTGATTTTTCTGTTTCATTTTTTTGTATACCATATTCTCTAGAGACTTCTCCAAACCAAAGTTCAGAAGCATCAATATTATTTTTATTATGCCTTTTAAAAGTCCAACTTGCATTTCCATAGAGTTTTGCAGGAAATACTACAATACTATACTATTGTATATATTATTTTGATTTTGAAGGTATATACATAGTATGGTATCTGAGTATCTTTTCCAAGGCTTTCATGTTTAATTTACCAAGTGCTAGTTTGCAGCATTTTTCTTGACTCCTTGATATCTTAATGCTTGAGACAGAAGCTATCCACCACTTCAGTATCTTAGTTGACAATTCTAAGCTTATTGTACCTGTCATTAGTGTGTTCTTCTTTATATTTAATTTTAGTTCAATGTTTCCATCAGTGCTTTTCGATGTAATTATTAGTTTGCAGTTCCTTTGCTTTTATAGCTATCAGAGTAGAGTCATCAGCACAGCACAGGTAATTGATGTTTCTTCCTCCAGGTTTAAAAACATGCTTATTTTAATCCAGTATCAGTTTCCATTAATATATAAGTATTTATTTATATACTTATAAATAAGTAAAGTATGTTCTCTCTGAACTATGGCTTTTGTTCTGTGTATACGTTTTATACGAAGATAACTGGATGTTCTGGATTGCCATTTTTCTAATATTTTCTAATTATATTACACAGTTTGATATAATCAAAAACCTTTCTATTATAAATAAAGCATAAACTTATTTCTTTTGGATATTTCTTGGCTTTTTCAATTATCTAGAATACATCAGCTATATTATCTCCTATTCGTCAGCTTTTTCTAAAGCCAGCTTGTTTATGTTGACCTTTAGTGTGAAAAGTTTCAAGTAAATCAAAAAACATCAGGGAAAGATTAAGCCTTAGCTATCTGAGACTAAAACTTAATTGTCCTTCATATCATTAAGTAATTATTGATTAACACAAATAGTATGCAAATCTTCAGAAGAAGAGGAATCCACAGAACTTGGAGGATTGTGTACGAAGCTCTTCCTTTTCCAACTGTTAAAGCAGTCAGGCTTGAAGCTGCTTGAACATGTTGTGGCCTTGATGATGTACATGCACATCCCGGGCGATACCCACCTACCTTCCAAAGCAGCCATGCAGTTTTATTTTACAGATCCGTTAAGTACATTTCACAAAACATAGCTTAAATACAAATTAGGAAACATTATCCACTGAATTTTATAAAGATTTAAATTCAGGTCACATGATCACCCAGCACACACTCTTGGATATAGATCAATTTATTTTAGATTACAATTTCCATTAGGGATCAATTCAGGGGGATCAATTCAGATAGCAGAATGAGTGTACAATACAGCCTATTCTTTACCAGCAAGAAGCCATCTTGCTACTTTAATTCTGGTGATGGATGCTTTCTTTTTGATAATGGTAAATGAAGATCAGCTGCCAGACTTGATGGCTTATACACACAAAATAGAGTGTGTGTCTTTGGTTGTTTTTTTTTTAACATCAGGCATAAAATATTTTGGGCTGAATATTTTGTGCTAAAATATTTCAGTCTCTATACCTGTATGTATATGTGTAATAGTAGATGACATTCTGAATTGGCTGAAGAAAAGGCAACAAAAGTCAATAGCATGATGCACTGAGCTTTAATGGAAAATCCCATTAGAAGTGCAGATGAAGTAATGCAAAGAAGCAGGACAGTTTTATTATTACAGAAATTAAGCCTAGTTTTCTTTCAAGGAAAGGTCCTATTTAAAAAGGAAAATTTAGTCAGGCTCTGAGAAGCGACTGTGCAATATGCATACAGAAATGATTGGTTAGTTTCATTAACTGATGCCTGAAGAAACATTTATATTGACACATAAAAAACAGCAATTGTCTTAATTTGTGTGGTGCACTTCACACAAAAGCCCTAAATATGTTCAAATTAGAGCAAGCTGCTTGATTGTCACTGCAATCTCATGTCATGTTAATGCATGACAAACATTAAACCATACACTTAAATGGCAATTTATATCATTTAAATGTTTACTGCCTGAGCAACTCATCAGTCATTTAAATGTGATTTTCTGACAGCTAATTTCAGTTAATTTTCCTCTATTCACTTAATTAGAACTTTCAATCAGGAAAAGGCCTATCCATATCTTCATGTACGTATCATTTTTGTATTTAGAAGCTCAGTAAATTGCTACATACATCCTTTATAATAGATAACAATATATTAAGTCATTCTTCTATTCACCCTACATACCATTCCACCCGAGAAACAGCTCATTTCATGAGAGCAATATTCTAGCTGGTACTTTTTTAAAAAAATCACAAAATATGAATACTATTAAAACTACATATAACCATAAACACATGCACACATGAGTTCCAAATTGTTTAATAAGTTAAAAGCTGTAAGATATACTGTATTATATCTTGAACTATGGTATTTTAACCCACAGGCCATATGGATTAAGAGAGCATATAAATATTGCTAAATAAATTAATTAAACACAAATGGCATAACAATAAAATGATTAAAATAAACTAAAACACAATTTTATATAGACCCTTTTAGAGTTTTATTGAACTGTGTTTTACTTTGAAGTAAGTTTTGAAAACATATATAGAAAATGTGAAAAGTTTATAAATACAAGAAAACAGCAACATGAAAAACCCAAAATTTACTTCCTTTTTACTACAGCAAGAAATACTAACATTTTTATCATCATTTATACATACCATTAAAATGTGTAAATGTGATTGCTAAAGAAAATGACTAAATACAGCAATAATACTTGATTGGAAGGGCTTTAAAGGTGGGTTTTTTTGTAAATTGTTTAGAATTTATCTTTTTTTTCATCTTTCATGGGGTTTACTTAAGATTTATACCTATAATATATTAACAAATTAGCTGTGAAAGATGTAAATAAGAATATAAAATAAAAAGACTTTCAGGGTGCTATAAGAGATGTCACAACATATATACAATCCAGTTAAATTTCAAGCATTGTATTATAAAAACTAAGAGCCAAAAAAAAGAGCCAAGGTGGCGCAGTGATTAAATGCAGCACTGCAGGCTACTGCTAGATCAGCAGGTCAGCGGTTCAAATCTCACCGGCTCAGGGTTGACTCAGCCTTCCATCCTTCCGAGGTGGGTAAAATGAGGACCCAGATTGTTGGGGGCAATATGCTGACTCTCTGTAAACCGCTTAGAGAGGCCTGAAAGGCCTATGAAGCGGTATATAAGTCTACTGCTAATGCTACAATGTAAAGTTATATGAAGTTAAAAGAAAATATGTATTGTTCTTTTGTGTAATGTATCACATGAAGAAAATTCTTTCTATATACAGTAGATTATACTACCAAGCTTTATTGATTTTGTACATCATACTTATTTTTTTCTTAAAATTAAGATTTCAAAAAGTTTAGGATCAGCTCAAGCTTCTGAAAAAAGATAATGCTTATTAAAGCCATAGTTAAAAGTGTGCACAATGAAAGTATACTATGATGAGGTCCTTGAGTTAAAATGGTGCACAACTAAAGCAAAAGTAAAGTTTGGGTAATGAAACATATGCAAGAAAACAACAAAGCTCAGAGAACACCAAGAACCCCTCATTTTAACCCTGAACTACAAATATTCTCTTTTATTGGTAAAATATACTATCCCGCATTCCCTTGCTTCTCTTAAACATAGCTAATCAAGTCTTGCTTCTGCCACACTAGACAGGATGTATCATTTACACTCTGTATATATTCTGAGAATGATAAGAAATAAAAAAAATCTAACATCCAACATAGTACGATAATATTCATCTGTATTGAGTTATTGTGAAATAAATCAGAGGTAACGTCTGATTGTTACGAATCAAAGAAGACCATGAGAGGAATGTCCTGTAAAATCACACACAAATTGTCAATTCAGACCCATGGGACTCGTATTAACTTTGACAAACTGTCTTGGGGCTGATCTCTCTCTCTCTCTTTCCCCCTCTAATGAGACCTATTAGGCCAAGACACAAACTCCTGAAGTATGTTAAAAAGTGCAATGCACAGATGTCAAACATCTATTGGCAACTTTATGTTAATAGTTCACAATACTAAAATGTCCCAGAGTCATTTTTGTATTTAAAGCAAATATGCTACAGAAGAAAATAGCAATGCATATTTGTCTACTTTTTAAAATATGAATCTAAACTAAAATGTCTAAATTTCCATTTATTCCTTGAAACATATTGAACCAAGAAAAATTTGACCATAATTGTTAAAAATAAATAACTTTTTCTACTGTACGCTTACTAATGAAATTCTCCATATTTATTATGGATTTATTTTATGGTTCAAAATGGCCCAAGATAATGATAAAGATAAAATTACTTCAAAACTACCAAATTTACTATATAATTTCAATTTCTTTACAAAATTGTGTTTTAAAATATATTAACAAAAAAACTTCTAAAAAGAAAATAAACTGAACAATTAATTCCAAACTTCTGCAACCTTATTATGAATTTGTTTAATGATTACTTGATACCACATGCAACAAACATTTTAAAATCAAGCAGACAGTTATGCTGGCATGCGCTGGATTTAAAACAGCAGTAGTAATGTCACTTAACACTGATGTATGACCTTGGTAATTTACAATGATTAAGACTTATTTTCAGACCAATTAGAAATCTTTCAAATTGTCCTATCAAATATATGATTTTAAAAAATTCAACTTAAAAAAACATCTGGAGTCTTTTTTCTATGTGATCTTGCTTCCAATCAGAACATGCTTTGAATTAAACAATTTTGATTAAATATGTGGATCACATTCTCTTCAATTATTTGAAGTCATAAACAGAAAACTGTATCCTATTCAAACAAAGCAAGAGCAATGAATTCACACAAAATCAAGATTGGCAAAGTGTTTGGGTGGACTGTTAGGTCTAGTCTCTTCAATAATTCCTAATAAAAATTAGGAATTATTTCTTTCTAATAAAATAGAACAGTTTTAAAGTTATAAATTACAATAATTAATGTGCTCCACAATTTCAGTGGTATTTGATAATTATTTAAATTGTGCAATGCACTGCTATTTAGTCCACCTTTTCTGTAAAATGTAAAAGGCAAAGTCTTAATACTATGACTAACACATGTGCTTATTTTTCTAAAAAGCACAAGAACCCAGTGGTTTATGAAAGTAGGAAAATATGTTGTTTCAAAATAGGATTACGTTGTCACAAATTCATACCATAATTATTTCTCTATGAATTTTCAATATTCATACTATTTATTTATAGTTACGATCTCTATCAGCACTGTATGCTGAAGTAGCCTTATACATTTTCTTGCTCTCTCTAGGCTTCAAGGAATTGTGTTGAAAGTAAATAAATATTCACGGAGCATTCAGAACAAGAATGGTGGAGGTCTTGTTTCGTTTTCATGTTATATATTCTGGAGGACAAAGATGCATTTTTATTTATTACATTTATGTTCATTCACTCTATAATGTCTCTGTGTAGTGTGCAACATTAAAAACAATTAAAAACTATATAGCAATAGCAGATTTATATATCGCTTCATAGTGCTTTACAGCCCTCTCTAAGCAGTTTACAGTGTCAGTATATTGCCTCCAACAATCTGGGTCCTCATTTTACCGACCTCCGAAGGATGGAAGGCTGAGTCAACCTTGAGCTGGTCAGAATTGAACTCCCAGAGTGAACAGTGAGCTAATCCTGCAGTACTGTATTCTAACCACTGCGCCACCACAGCGCGCGCGCGCGCATACCCACCCACCCACCCATATATATACACATGTTCTATTCACAGTGAAAACAAATGTAAAATGCAGGCATTTGTGCATTAGTTTAGGTAACATGTATTAAAGTATGACAATAAAATATATTTAGGAATCACATGTGCGGCCATGAATTTAAGACTATTTTATCCATTAATTCCTAATCAAATTTGTTTTTTCCTTAGTGTGCCACATTGGATACTTCTTATCCACTCTGATCTGATATCAAAAGAAACAAAATGGTGAAGAAGATTAAACGTTAGATTTCGGACAATTTCCAAGGACCTTGCAATTGTAAGCTTTTCTCTAGGATACAGTTCAATTGCAAGTTACACATAATTCAAACTTGTTTCCCTGTTTCAGAAGATTTGCCCTCATTATCTCTAATGTACTCCACTGAAGAGAAATAATGCAAACGTCCAAACTCACATTGTTCTATAGACAGCAGATACCCACATTAGCAACCTATATAAAAAAAAAAATTCCCCCTCAAACAAGCATCCCTTTTGACAAGGATTTTATGAAATGTTCTGGTTTATATTTTCAATTATTTTAATGTTTAATCTGTTTTGAACAATTATTTTTATAAAATAGCACAGGTACTCTTTCACTTATAACAGTTCATTTAGTGACCGTTTGAAGCTACAATGGCACTGTAAAAAAGACATGACCATTTTTCACACTTATGACGGTTGCAGCATTCATGTGGTCACATGATCAATATCCAGATGCTTGGCAATTGATTCATATTTATGATGGTTACAGTGTCCAGGGGTCATTTGATTATCTTCTATGACCTTCTGACCAACAAAGTCAACAGGGAAGCCAGATTCACTTAACAACCATGTTACTAACTTAATAACTGCAGTGATTCACTTACGAACGGTGGCAAGAAAGATCCTAAAATGGGGCAAAACTCACTCAACAATGGTCTCACAGAAATTTTGGGCTCAATTGTGGTGATAAATCAAGGACTAACTATATTAAATTGCATATAACATATAAAACTTGAATTAGCTTTCAACATAGTTAATTTTTGATGATAATTTAGGCAATCATATTTATACAACACAGATCAATCATTTGATGGTATATTTGCATAGTATATCTAATTAATTGCTATTGAAAGAGAATATTTTACCTGAACATTTATTTCAAATTATAAAATATATGAAGTATATTTCTGTGCATCAGGAAATTTCTATCCAAGTTCATAATGGTTACAGATTCATAGTAGCCTTTTTGCAGTTTTGCCTTCTGTTAAGCCATCAGGGTAGGGTCAATATTGGCCCTCAAGATTCTATAGGATTATCTGTTGTTGTTGTTGTTAAATAATACTAATGTAGTAGTATTAGTTAAATAAGATGAAGTTATTTTCATTCAGTAAATATTTGGGATTCGATATGTAATCAAGGTTTATGAAGAAATCAATGAGCTGAAGAGTTTGGGGACTCCTGAATTAGGGAAGCAAACAAATACTTGTTCCATAATCAGCACCTATCTGTTAACTTTTTTTTAATATTACCAAAGTAATTAAGCCAGGTGAAGCCTTTATTCACAACTATAACTATCTAGACTCTTTGAGGCAAGTTTGAGCCAAAATTGCCATTATTTGATATTGCAGTATTTTATTGTATTCTTGCCTAAAATAAAACCTGAAGTTCATTCTGATTTTTGGGGGGGCTTCAACGTCCTTATTAATTCCTCTAACCTCTTTTAGGTCTTCTATTAAGCACTGTCAGTTTTTGTGCTAGAGAAGGATATACTGTACCACGTTTGGGGGCTGTTGTTAAAATGGGGCATAATGAGTTTAAAGCTGTTATTATGGTTTTAATCTTTATACACTTCCCAAAGTCATTGCCATGAGATGGGCAGCTCTACAAAACACCTGAAGAATTCTCTTCTGTGTAAAAGTGAATGACTGCTTTATCATATTCATTTCATTTATCTATATGTAAAACAGGAAACCAAATATTCCCTTAGTGACTGTATTAGAGAGACCAGTGTTTTCCTATTTGAAGTTTAAGCTAATATGATCCACATTAATTTGGATAAAACTATCCAAAGAGGTAATCAACAGTACATAGGTCTGCTGCATGGGTACCACACCGCAGATAAAATGTTCTTTGACTCTTCTGGTTAGACATCCATATATAAATCACTCTACATATACACTGAAACAAGTACCCCTGGCAACAAAGAACCATCTTTTCTCATCACAATTTTCTACTCTGGAAATCTACTGTTTCTGTCCAAACAAAGAAAATATATAAGTGACCTATCCCCATACTGATGTGTCGTGATGTGAATAAAAAGCAGGCAGCAAAGCAAGAGTTAATTGAAACTAAAGAGAAAGGGAGGAGTGTTGTCTGGGGAAGAAGGCTAACTGAGAGTTAATCAGGGATCACATCCAGAGCCAGGCATGGATAAGCCTCACTAATGAGGCTCAAGTACCCTGCAGTGGCTTTCAAACCGAACTGGCTTCAAAGGATGCCACCCCATGACAGAATGCAGTTAGCCATACGAAGAAAGTGATTAGAATAAATGACTACAGTAATTAACTTTGATTTGAAGCCACCTGACTGGAAAGAGAAGCTAGGAGCTGTTTAGCTGAAATCTTCCTGGTAAAAAGGGGAAGCTTGCCTTTACCCTTGTGTTTGTATGTGTTAGGAGGGCTTTTTCTTTCAAATAAGTATTGGGTGGCAGTAATGAAAAACAGCTTTCATTCAAGAACGTCCCATTCATTTTGAAAAAAAAGAGGAAAATAAAAGCTTCAAAGGGGAACTAATTCATTTCACCCCAATCACCTTTAGTGAGTTGCCTCACCACTGCTAAACACACACATGCACACACAACACACACTCATATTCTTTTAATATATTAAAAGAAAAATCAGGTTATTGAATTGTTAGCAACTACTTTGCTATGAATTTTAATATTACGTAAAAGCTAATTGTTTAGCATAAATTTTTAGAGAATGTTTTTAGATAATTTAAACATTTAAATAGCATTTTTTTTATTCAATGTTATTGTACCATTGTACCAAAGTTGTCTTCTTCATTAATGTCCCTTAAGGTTGTATGTGGAACTTAGTTTACCTTTTTACTTCATCAATAAATTATATTAATGTAGCCCTTTATCTGATGACTAATTTCTACTGAAAAGTTTTGCAAGTTGTATCTACAGTGTAGTAGTCAGAATAATTCACCAAACATTTATGCAAAGAATCTGATTTATTTGACAGTTTTATACCTTCAAGGCACAATATAATTAAATGTTTTGACAGCTAAACAAAAATTGTATAAATTTCAAAAATGTTTAAATGGCTGTTGTGTCTAAAATAAAAATAGTACCTACATTAGCTTAGCTTCTAAACATGCCTTTTAAGGAAATTTAAATGATATTATATTTTGTTTATCCAAGGAGAATAATTTTTACTTTTCCAATTTATGATAATATATGCCTATATAAGTATTTATGCACATGTGAATATGCATACAAATAACTCTTGCATTTTTATTATTTCAATCATTTTAAAATATATGTGTCACCTAATACTTTTTGCATTTTCACAATGAGATCCCACTTTCAATCACCAAAGAATTCTAGAAAACTGCCATTCAAAATCAGGCCATTCCTCCATCGTCCACATTGATTACCTGCTCTTCTGTCTAATTGTGGTGGCGGTGGGGTATTCTTAGAAGGGATAAGTAAAGAATGCAAATAATGAATGTAAAGAATACATAATCCCAGCAGGGTGATCCAAGATGTGAAAGTCATCCTAGTTGATCAGCTAAAGCAAGCAGGCACTTACAATATGCCAGCAGCAACAATATAGGCACATCCTGGAGGCAGAAGATGACTTTAGAGATAATCATTCTATAATGCATGGAGAATGTTATGGCAAAGCACCCTTATTTTATCAAGAAAACTACCTGGATAGAATATATAGAATGATGATGTAATACTTGGGTAATGGACCCTTCAGTTTTAGATGGCACTCAAAATGCTATTGAAAAGAGTTGGGGAGTTTTTGGAATACTAATAGTGTTTATGACATAAAGCCAATAATAATAATAATAATAACAACAACAACAACAACAACAATAACAACAACTCCGCCATTGCCGGTCCCAAGCCCAGATAAGAAAGGAGGAGGGTTGGGGTCAGGTTGGCAACCTGGCCCCATAAAAAAAACCCGCCAACCCATACAATATGGTGAAAGAAACGAATATAAATTTTATACCGCATCGGTCATCACATGGGTTAACAAGGGGCGCAGCGGATGTTGAGGTCCCTGGACATCCGTCGACAAGTGATTTCTGAGATTGATTCAGAAAGATGCAGCTAAAGGAACAACACCTGAAAACTACAGACCAATAACATGGTTGCCAACAACCTTCAAATTACTCACA